AAAATTAAGGTGTTTTTCACATTTGAACCTGGACCTCAGGAGTCCGTTGGCTTGCTGATATGTAACTGGGGCATCTTGCAAAGGATAGTTAAAGAAAGGAAATGGATGGGAACAGCTGGGTTACAGTGAGAGTGGCATAAAGTTAAAGCATAAAGAAGCGTCCGAAACTCCTCCTGTCTGCCAGAGTAACTGTGGATTTTATCTGCCTCAGCCATCCAGGCTGTCTGAGCAACTATACATACAAATCAGCCACATGACGAGAAACCTTTGGTATGTTTATCCTGCTTTCTAGCTCAGGATCTCTCAGTTCTCAGCTAGATTTCAGGCTTGACAACTTAAGAGCCAATCAGGACTGTGTGGAAGAAACAAACCTTTTGGGTTTCATAAAATAAAAATACTCCTACTATTTTCTCTTGTTCCTCTCTGGTTTTGAAAATGTGAACCCCTTAGTGGGAGATGAGACAGAACTAGACCTTGGGATGGCAATACTTCTGCATTCGCAATGAGATCAGACTTCCAGCCAAACTTAGACCTTGTGTCGTGGCCCCATTTCCTTGTTCTGTGATCCTAGGCCGTAAAGCAAGCCGTTGGGAGGCAGGGTGAGTCCTGGGAGGAGGGAAAAAAAAAAAAAACTCTTTTAAGGCTTTCTTTTTTGGGGAATAGGTAAAGTCAACTAAAACATGAGATGTGTCTGCCACAGTCGGAACCGAGCCCTGAAGAAACAGTTTAGGCGAGCTGCAGAAAAAAGGCACAGTCTGAGCATTAGTTCCTCCTCTTTCACTTGTTTCTCACAGTTTCCTCTGCTGTATTTCACTGACAGAAAATAAAATGCAAAAAAAAAAAAAAACCCTGAAATCACAATATTCCACGAAATAAGCATGAAGAAAATACTAGTTCATTCCTTACATGATTCTCTGCTTTATCGAACCTCGTCGTTTGTAGCTGGCGTGGCATTTACAGAGCGTGATATGCAGCTGCCGATCACTCACAAATAATATGCGTGTGCCCTGTGCATGGCACAGCGTCGTTTGGGGAGAGAAGTGGGCAGACGGATGTGCAAGGGCGAGGAACTGTTGCTCGTCGATACAGGGCCATCTTTTGCTAAGACCAACAAGAAAAAGTAGATCATGATGTTTAATCCAGAATGCACAGGATCCATATCCAAAAGGATATAAGCAGACTAAAATTGTCAGAAGTCGGGGCCTTGGGAGATAAGGACTGAGCCAGGCTTGGTGTGTTTTAGATCTATGTTTGCAGGGGAGTTCCCTATTTTGGGCCCAGAGCACATCTCATTTGGTTTGGCTGTCCTATGTAATCTTAATGATGCCCCTTAAGGCCTCTGCCAAACGAAAGATGCGAGTTGTGGGACAAATCCCGTTCTTGCTAGTGCTGTGCAGCAAGCTGCACAGCATTTTGGTACCTTGCTATGTGTACTGTCGGTAAAAGGGTAATGAAAAAAGAGTTAGAAGAGAAATTGCTGTTGTGCGTTATAAATATCAGCTCTCCTGAGAAAGAGCTGGCTAACAAGGATGATAAATGAGAGACAATTAAAGCTTGTTCATTTGTTTGTTTCTAATGAGAAATATATCTGGTTAAAAAAAAATTCATTATCGGTAATGCGTAGGCTCTGCGAACAGCATTGAAAGAAGCAAGCAGGCGAAATCCTGGTGGCGCCTTTCCCCAGGACACACGTGCAGCGCTGATGCCTTGCACGCTGCTGTTGGGAGGATCACTGGTATCACTGGTTTAGGTCTACTTTAAGGTGGTGGGAAAGAGAGGAGGTTATTCTCTGGCTGAGTTGCAATAAGAAAAGTTGTATGGGTTGTATAGCTCTGTGACATGCTTAAAATCCTGATATTAACGACCATGAAACCAGGATTTTTTTTCCTCCCAGAGGGGTGTTTCAGATGGCAGTCCTCCACAAAGTGCCCTAGAGTCCTTCCTTAAGTAACTTCTGCAGGAGGAGGAGAGGGAGGAGACCTCGTCCTTAGCATTTCAGAGAGACTGCTTTCTCCTTCCTCAAGCAATCTGGCCATTCTGTTCCTGTTTTATGCTTTGAGTGTGTGATATTGCCTTGGCTGTCTGAAATGTGTGTTCCTCATCCACTGCTTCTGAAAGCGAGAAAGGTTTCCCTTCTCCTGCACAGAAGGAAAGGACTGATGAAACTTACTGTGCTGGAAATTTTTTGTGCATCCTGCTCAATTGTAAGCTATTTTCCTTCTCTGAGTCTCCAGTTATTTTATTACAGAAATGACAGCAGCTGCTAACATACATACAACATAACTGTTGCATATGCAAGATGGATGTTTGTTTTGGGGGACAGAATTTGCCCAGTGGGAAGAAACTAGGAAACGTTGTCTTGGCTCCTTACTGGCATCCTTCATCTATTTGTGACATATGCAGATTTTTATAAAGGCTGTAGGCAGAATGATGCTCTATATTGAAAAAATATTTAAAATCTGTGTTCTTTACTGCTTATTCTTATTTTTTCCCATCCTTTTATACTGTTCACTGTTAATTTTTGACCCTTGAATTTCCCAGTTAATTAATTTGCTTTGATCACTGCCTAAATCAATTATAGTGACATGCTAAATTTTATTCCCAGCAAAAAAAAAAAAAAATGCTGATAATGGTTGCTTGAAATGCAAATACATGCTGCTTTAATATTCCACACTGGTATGCCCACCATTCAGTAAGGCGCTGTCAGTTGAGGGGCATTTTGTTTTGTTTTGTTTTTTTTCAAATGCTTTAAATCTGCCACTTGGCAAAGCATACTTTTTCCCAGGTTGAGTTCCTGTAACTCCAGGAAGATAAATATAAACTTGCACTGAACTTTACCTCGGAGCCTTCAGACCTGCTAGATATAAAGCTAGCAATTCTGTTTTTATGCTGGGTTGTAGGAGGGACTGCTAGCAGGTTATCATCAGACAGAACAGTTTGTCCTGGCCAGCCGTTTTGATTAGCAGCAAAATGCTGACATATTTGTGATACGCTGGTATGATTTTTCTTTGTTTAAAACATTTTCAGCAGTAATTGATTTTTTACCAGTCCTGATAGCCTGCAGAATTGAAGCAGTTATTTCTTCTGAAAGAGGGCAGACGGGCAGTATTTGCAGCCTTCTTCATCCCAAACACTAAAGGGATACATGGAGGCTGTCACACAGATATGACTGTTTTCAAAAGTGGCCTGACAAAAGCAGAACAACATCTGGGACTTACCGTCACTGAGATGGAAGAATATTATTTGAAAATGAAAATGAAGCAGCAGCTGGAAGCGTGCTGGTGCAGACGTCTGAAAGCAAACATGTTTGCCTGCATGCTGGACCCAAGCCCACAAGCAGAGCTCTGCTCAGGAGCGCTCCCCAGAGCTCTGTCTGGCCCAACAGAGGCCCAGGACTTTGACCAAAGAGCTTTTCCCTTCCAGTTATCTTGTGTAAATGTGATTATGAAAAGCAAAAAGGAGAAAGGATGCCCAGTTCCTGCATGCTCAGATCCCAGTCTTAGCTATGCCTCAGCATTTTAGACAGCCTGAGCATAACCAGAGGGTCTCCACATCTCTGTGACCTCTGCAACTGGGAGGAGTCCTTCTGGCAGAAAAAGCAATATGGTTCTTCTATGCTGTCAAATTTCTAAAGGCCAGGGGCCAGCGATTAACAGCATGGTGCAGAAACATAGTCCCTGCTTATTCCTCCCATATCAGCCTCAGCCAGGCACAGACTAGGACTCCAGACTGGATATGATGCAAAAGTGCATTGGCTGAGTTTCTGCAATGGCTGAGCACCAAAGAAGATGAACCAGCAGGGCATGAGCAGCCGCGTGGCTCCCTTCGTTGCAGGCATTTCCTTCCTCCATCCAGCCTCTGGGACAGCAAGTTTTTCTTCGCAAGCTGCAGCATGAGGAAAATCTAGATATAATATACCCAACAAGAAGGCGGCCAAAGCCTGTGTAAAATGGCTCTGCATGTGTAAATGACACCCTGCAGTGACAGTTTGACCGCAGCACTGACACATGGTGCACAGCACAGCCATCCTCCGCCTGCCCCAGGGCAGGTCACTGGCACCTCAGCTGTCCCTCAAACACGCAGGCCCCATTGAGCGAAATTTCCTCTTTACTGTTAAGGAGCACGTGTGTAAGGGGAGGGCATTTGGGGAATTATTAAGGTAACGCTGGTAGTTGACTTCTTTGTAATCAGTGGCCTTATGATGGCCAACTGCTCCTCTTTGGATAAGGATGCCTTTCCAAGGTCTTTTCTAGCCCTGTTTGCAATGGTTCTCCCAGACTTCCTTTCTGTTTAAGTATCTGTATCTTCATTTTGGACCAATCCCAAAATGCTCCTTCAGCGCAAGCTTGCACAACTCAACAGAAAAACAGTTTTGTTACAGTCAGTGAGAACTTGCCCTCCAGAACAGGTATTTCCAGAACAATAAGTTAACTTTCCTAGATCCTAGGCTTAACCTATTCCTAAGCAGATTTGCCTTCCAAACTATATTTCTTCTTTTACGTCTTCCCATATGTCAGCTGTTCCCCTGCTGAAATCAACGTCAGCTGAGTATAAACCCTATTTATTAAGAAACGAAATGTTTCCTCTGTACCCTTCCACAGCAAGTTAGACCATCATGACACCTATAACCCTTTTCTGGCCATCTAATAGATACATTGTTCTTTGGTGGGAGTCGCTGGAGAAGTTTGTCATCTGCAAATCCTACAGTGTAGTCAGGATAAGAATCTCAGCTCTTAAACTGATCTGGACTTCCCATTAGGAGATAAATGATGCCCTGGAGCGAAATGAATGAACTCTCTCATAACTGAGGTTTCACACATGGTGATCAGATAATTGATGATTAGTCCAATAAAAGGTGAGTTTGTGGATGAGTTTGTGGACCCATCCATCATTTCTGTGCTGTGACTGATTTAAAAAAAAAAAAAGGTAGAAAATAAAGAGAAAAATTGATGAGATACTGAGAAGGTGATCTGTTTTTTGTTTTGTTCTTGCTTTCCTAGGTGGGGCTAAGTACTGCAATAAGGAAAGCAAAAAGGATTATGAAGACTTCCAAGGACCTGGTAAGAATTCGGTCTCATTGGGATGTTTTACACTGTAATTGCATTTTATCAGGAAAACTCAATTTCATCAGGAATGAGGGAGGTCATTTTGCCTACTTGTAAATCCACCTGATCATCATAAAATTGAACACTGACTCACTCTTATCCAGTATAGGATCTGCTCTGTCAGGTGAGACTGGAAAGAAGAAGAGGGAGAGATTTAGTAAAGACAAAGTGTAAAAATACATGGGGAACAGACAAAACTTCATGGAAAACACAAACTGCTTGTAGCGTAGGGATGTCCAGGTCCATCTGAGATATAAACTTGTATTCAAAATTCCTGCAGCAGCTGAAGACGCGGTCCATGGGCTGCATAGTGCAGCTCCACACTGAGATGTTTGCTTGTACCAGTCCTGCTCTCCTTTGGTGGGGCAGCTAGCCTTAAAACAGAATACAAGCACCAACAACTGCAGCTTTTGGGAAGAAAGTTAATAATGGAAAATGGACAGGAATGACAAGAGTAAAAGCCCTATGAGCATAAATTAATTTCACTGAGTGTACTCACCCAGAAAATCCAGAAGCTCCCTAAGCTCTCCTCCCATTGCCCGTACCTTAATCTCCATAATCTACTGTCAACTTACCCCTTGGTCTTGCTGCTCAGCACAGTTATTTGTACTGCCTATTCAAAAGAGACTATTCTGTCAGACACACTTTGGTGAAGAGGCAGTGGTACTCGTGACCTTCTCAAACTTTCTGGCCGCTGGCCATCCTATGAGCTTAGACCCCTAGCTCAGGGAGGGACCTGCCATACCCTAGCAGTGAAATGTGGGCTGCTTCCTCTGAAGCCAAATTCCTTCTCCCATCATCCCATTTTCCCTGCTCCCCAACCATTTTGGTATAGATTTTGTTGAGATGTTTTGCAAAATCAGGAATTTCTCGCTCAGCCTTGCTCTGTGCTCTTCTGTCCGGGGAAACTTCCTTTCTCCAGACTTCTTGCAGCATCTAGGACTGTTGAGCCTTGGCTCCTCCTCGTTCCGTGCCTCTTTCTTGTCCTTTTTCATCCCTGCCTTGCCCTTGTAGATGTGTGTGGGAGGGAGCCCTTGGACCAAGTCACTGCCTCTGAGCACAGTGACTGTACTTTGGGGTAGTCTGAATTTCAAGCAATGCCCTAAATGTGCATTCTGCGTATTTTTTCTTTATTTGTAAGGGGCTGCCTTTGCCTCTAAACTTGAAAACTGGGATTTGAAATCTTTCTGCCTCCCCCAGTTTTCGGATTTATAACTGATCTTAATCAGTAGCAGAGAAAGAAGGGCAGCTTTTATTCTGCTGGGTTCATTTATATGAGTCAATTCAGCCACAGAGTTTGCTTCCAGTTGTCTTCAGGCGCTTAATGCAGAGCAAATGTTTTTGCTGTTTGTTAAGAAATTACTGATATTGCTTCTTCCTGAATTCTCACTGTGATGCTACTCACAAAAGTGAAAATTGAGGTTCCTAATTAGCCTTTGGGCAATTGCCAAATTGGAAAGCCAGGGAAATAAACAATGCACTGGAGAGATGGGGCTCAGCTCCTGCAGAACAGCAAGCAGCAGGATCTTATTCATTTGCCTTCCTATTCAGCACGGCGCTACTGATGGCCTGAGATTTCCGCTCAAATTACATGAAATTTCTAATCCCTTTCCACTTCTCTGGGTGCAATTCCACACGTTAATGCCTGCAGTGAGTCACGTAAAGCCTCTCTGCTAGATTCAGCCCAGCTGCAGGTGCAAGGATGAGGCAAGATCAAGACTGCAGCCGGCCTCTCAGGAGACAGAGCTCCTTACCCCCATGGGAGCCTGGCCGTGGGTAGCTACCTCGCACGTGCCGGTCTGGCTTCGCAAGCTGAAATGAGGAGGGTGAATAACCCTCTTTGCTGCTGCCGGCACATCACATCATGCCTCATCCCTTGCGTGGCAGACCCTGGCTGACTGCAGGGGCCTGGCAAAAAGCAACGTACTCAGTTATAATTTGGGATTCCTCAATCAGTGTTCAGTCAGAGTATATCTAAACCTACATAACTGCATGCTACAAAGTCAAATGAGATTAAAACAAACATTGTATAATTGGGTGGATCATTATTCTTAGCATCTTTTTTAACAATTACCTTGGTGACCCTTACAGAAACACACTTTAAAGCTAGAAAATTAAAAACAATAGCATTTCTGGGGTTATTTGTTATTTACTGTGCGTTTGGCCCATTGCATGTTTGCGGAAAGGATTCCCCAGCCTTCTCAAGTGGCTCTTGCCAGTTAACTGTCCCCGTCTTTGCTTGTCGGCCCTGTGTGACTGTGCATATAAAAAGCAGCATGATTACAGCTATTGGTAATGAGAGTGGGAAATCTGTCTGGCTCCCGGGGATTGACATTTACTGGTCATTTCTTAGGATCATCTTAGATGTGGGGAAAAAACAGGTATTTTCCAGATGTAGAGATGTGGTGAACACAACCAACAAAATTCTTTCAAATATCTTCCATTCATTCATTAAAAGTAGTGAGCCATCTGTGAGCGATAGTTTAAACCAAATAGCAACACACGTTAAGGATTCATTACTTTTTCTTTTTTTGGAAAACCAATTAAAATAATTACTGAAATGTCATTATAGAATGTTAATTGGCAATGAATAAAGTATTTGTGTTATCAGTCACTAGCACTAACTTTTCTCGTGGGTGGGGAAGACACAAAAAACGCATCTTTGAGCAATAGCAGCAAAAAAACCGACTTCATGCAGAATGGCGTTGTGGAGAACAAGCACCGTGCATATAATTCTGTCGTGATTAAATGGTGCCTGCAAATTACAGTCCTGTATCAGGAGACTTGGGAAGGCAGAGAGGGAGCCAAAAAAGACTTGCACATAGAGGCAGGGAGGCTTTTCATCCCTTTGGGTGATAAAGTCAATCCTTACCCTTCTTCAACTCTTCCCCCTGCCAGGCAAAGAAGCACTTGAACCAGTCTCATGCCCACCCATTCCTGACACTTAGGGACAAGTAACCTGCCCTCTCCCAGATACACGTATTGCCCACCTGCAAGGGAAGCTGCATGACAGGGAAAGCCACGTAGTGCTCGCCCATATACGCTCTCCCTCTCTTACACGTGTGCACACAGGGTTTATTCCCTGTGCTCCTTGCCGCCTTTTGGGGGTCCTTGGAGGTACCCTGAAAGAGCAACTAAGTCCCCCTGCAAGCAGCAGGGTTGCCTGTGGCAGGGTGCTGTGCCACTGCTGTGGCTGGCCCTCAGCACCCAAATCCCTAGGGCCCATCCCTTCCAGCCGCCGCTGCCGAAGCTAGGCTGTCTGCTGGGTTTCTGCAGGCTATCCTCCCTTTAATGGAAACACAGCTCCAGTCTGCAGCTATTTTTAAATGACTAGCTGAGAAAAAGGCAGGAAAGGTTTTATTCTACTTACGGCAAAGGGTAGCCTTTAAATGCAGCCTGCGAGCAGAATAAAAGGAGGCTTTATTTATTTATTTCTAGGAAGCCCTGCGGTTTGTCTTTTTGGCACAGTTTCAGCTCCGGATGCTTTAACTTCAAAGGCTTTGCACGCTATGACTTAGGATGAAGTGAAAAGCCAACAGCTCAGAAGAAGATGCCACAAATCTTAGCATGATGGAAAGCTTTAAGAGCCTCTGCTGCTTCTGTAGACAGTGTTAGGCTTACTCTTACATGGAGGAGGTGGGGGAAGTGGTTTCTTTTTTCTTTTCAGGAAGGTGTACATATTTTTGCAAAGGTCTCTCAGAAAAGCCAGCTCTCTGCCTGGGTGCCTCTCTCTCTCTCTCTCTCTACCTGTAAATATGCACACACGCACCCTCTCCAAAACTGTGTGCAGTAATTAAACAGAAAATGAGATGGCGTTAAAAATTTCCCCTACGTAGTGCCACTGAGGTGGTTAGGTGGCAAGTGATGAGGTGTCCAAATGAAAGCGCAGTATTTGCATGGTGGCGGTGCAGCCAGTGCCTCAGGCACTGCCCTGACGCTGCTGGGCAGCCCATCTCCGACTCGCTCTGAGCCAGAGCCGGTGCCTTTCTGCCCACTTGGCTGTGACATGTTTTGGTGGCTGACATCCCGCTCCAAGCAGAGCATTGCTCCTCTCCATCACCCCTTGTTTCTTTTTCAAACAAACATCTTCCTGCCTTCCCTCATGCTGCAGGGGAGCTCCTTATGTGCCACTGCAACACGACCTCGCTGTCCTTCAGTACCCTCTTTGAAGGTCTCCTTCATCATTCAGAGCTTTATACGCTGAGGTTGCTGCCCCTCACACCAATAATAGCCAATTGGACAATTTCGTTGTCCTCCCCTGAGCTGTGTCCAGCCATTATCTCTTGTTTTCTATTAGATTTAGGTTGTAATCTCATAAGGGCAAGGGCTATCTTATTTTTTTTCTACGAATATAAAGTGTGAAACACCAGGGAACTGGTCCAGGAATAGAGCTCCTAGGTGCTATCGCAACATAAATTATTACCCTCCTTTGCATAAGTAAATGAGAATGTCGATCTGCTCAGCTGCTTCATAATTACGTGCTGAATACAGCCTTAGTGAATACAGATAATTAGTCTGTGCACTGACTAGCTTTCCATATTTGTAGACCACCTGAATGCCCTCAGTGTTTACAAACCACCTGACCTTACAGTGAAGCCACATGAGCAGCACATGCATGGAGTTGCTCTCCAATGCAGTGCAATGTTTCTCTAAGTTGGGCATGCATTAGGAAGGTCTGTTTTAATTTCTGGAGCTTTCCGGTTGCCTTGGACCTCCTCATGTAGCTTGGCCCCTGATTAATGTCTACTAAAGAGTTGAAAGAGTTTATCCTGCAGGAGCCATCTTTTATGGCCTGCAGCTCCGGTAAGTATAAAACCCAGTTATGAGATTTCTGTGTTAAAAAACATTAAAAATCAAGGTGCCCTGTGCACATGCTGGATCCTCCCATTAATCCTCTCTTTGGGATTGTTCCTGACCTCTGGCTTATCAACTCTTCTGCCCCGAGCATGCAGAAAGCAGCCTCCTGGCCCACAACATATGTTTTGTTCAGTAGTTCTGAGCTAAGTGTCAGATACCACGGTGTTTATCAAACATGAGAATAGCAGTTTTTAAAAAGGGTGGAAAAAATAACTTTGGTACATGACGGGAGACAGCTTCGTAAGAACTTCTTCATTCCTTTTTAATTTGATAACTCTTTGAAAGCAAGAGTCATTGGTTTGTAGCATGTTCAGTTGAAATCCTTAAGTTGACTGCTGTGTCAAGCCTAAATCCTCTGGCATGTACATCCTTATTGGAGTCATTGGGGTTTTCAGATGTTATTAAGCAGAAAGTATATGATTTAGCTTTGAACTCTGCTGACACTCATTATCCCAAGCCTTGCCGTCTTTATGAACTAATGCACTTGTCTTCTTTTTTCTTCTTCCCTTCTAGAAAAGCATCATGGGGTTCTCAAATTTATGTGCTTTTCCTCTTCTGGATAAGCTGTGCGAGAAGATTAAATAGTGCGTATAAAATTTTCAGTCCTTAATCAGAAATGGAATACGGTGCATTTGTTTCTTTCAAAGGAGAGGCAAAAATAATCCTCAGATTGAAAAAAAAAAAAAAGGCTTCCTGTAGTCTTCTTATATTTCGTTCTTTCATAAAAACACTGTCTGGGCAGTACAGAGGGAGGTTGCATAGAGTTCAGGTAAGTGAGAACCATAGGAGGGATCCCTGCTCTTTTTCAATACTGGTTGCACAATTTCAGCAGGTCCCAGGGGACAGATATACTCTGCTGCAGGGCAGAACCCTCGATCTGTACACACAAAGATCTGGAGCCTCTGAGAGGGAACAATTTTTCTCCTGAGATTTCCTCAGCCCAAGAGATGTCGCCATTTTGTGCATTCACTCAGTTGTGGTGCCCACGGCTCAATGCAGAGAGCCGTATTCCCCTGGGTTTACAGCAAGCAGCAGCAACATAACTCTGTAAAGAATATGACTTATGTGCCAGACACCAAGTGTAAGGAAAACCTCAAGATATTTAAGAAACCTAGGGGGATGGTGGACACGGAAAACAATTTGCGGTGGTTGGTGCTGACCCTAAGCCAAAGTCCCTGTGAAGGGCCAAGGACATCAGCTGGGCTGTTAGTCCTAGAGAGTATTTGTCAATGTACGGAATAAATGGGCTGGAGGAAGAGCTAGGCAAATCTAAGAAGAAAACAGTATTATCAGCAGTATTTTTGGACTAATTTGGCTCCCAAGACTAAGATCTATTTCTGTTGATTACAGTGAAACTGCAAATACCAAGAGTTTATTGGGAATGGGTTGCTTAACATGAAACATGTCTCAAGCATCTTTAAAATGGAAGTCAGGGCATAAATAACCTGAGAAAGGAGAATGAGTGTTTGAGCCCTGTGCGTTCAACAGTAGAAGCAGGAATCAAACTGCAAATTGCATGTTAGATCAAATACGTTCAATTCTTCCTTTCTCTTCTTCTCTCTCTTGCTCTCGTTCTGCTTTTTTCCCCTTTCTTCTTCCTGTAACTACAGAAACATGCTTGGCAGTTGGATTTTTTAGCTAGTTCTGGATGCGTGCCAGTTCCTTGCAACTGAGCCTCGCTGCAGAGATGAAGTTTCCCAAAGCAGCACGTGGAAGCTACTGAGTACAGGCAGAATAAGGGTTACGAGCACCAACAGGTGCCCGCATTGCCCGTCTCCTCTGCGTTTCTCCTTTTCCTGATGTGACTGCAGCCTGAAGAACCCACCCTCATTGCACCCATTTGTTTTTTGACCCAGGTTAAACATCTTTTATGAGTCCAAGGGATTGGAAATGCTTGGAAAGGAAGCTTTCCGAGGAAAGGATTATTAGCATGACATTCAAAGAGTGCTGCCTGCTGGGCCAAATAGGAGAGACTGTTCATTGTGGGTGGGCTGAGCTGTGTCCTGTAGCTTGTGCAAGGCGGTGTGAAAGCTGGTGCATGTCCCAGTTTAAAAGGAAGGGGCACGGAGCTGACACAGTCATTTTAACACCTGCTTCAGGTACTGCAACATGGTTGCTGGAACCAAAAGTCACACCACAAAAAAAAGAGATGTAAAATATGTAATTCTCAAAGAGTGAAGGTAGTTAACCACTGAGGGTTCAGTTCTCTGCTGCTCAGATCAAGGTGAAATACTTTTCTCGTGAGCATGTTTGAGCTTGGCCAGAAGTCTGTGGGACTGGATACAAGAGTTATGAGACGAGACTCAGGTCCTCAGTTAATGCGTGAGGCCACCTGCTTATTCAGCAGGCACAGCCCCTCTTCATGCTAAATCCACCTTTGCCTGAGAAAATAAGCGTTTGTTTGTGTAACTGCAGGGTGGTATGCAAAGTGCAAGTCTTCTGTGCCCAGCATAACAGGAGAGAGAAGGCTCGAAGGGTGCATATCAGAATTTGCCATTTGTTTTTAGCAGAAGAAAAAGGCTAGTCCCCGTCAGCGTAAGACCCTATCCTGCAGCTCATTCTCAGGGAGAAGGACGTCAGTTAACATTTCACTTTGTACAGATTAGCCAGATCTGCCAGGCTGAATGAGGTGTTTATTTCCAAAAATGATAGCTTTACCACAGATTTCATGTGCTAGTTTGTTTTAGAGATCAAGGGTTAGATTTTGTGGCTGTACCTGTTTCCCTCAATTTCACCTCCAGAGTTCAGGAGGTACTGAAGAAGACAGAATTTGGTCCTTTGGGCAGAATCAGTTTGCTGAAATAGAAGCCCAGAGTTAAAACTGAATATGGAGCTGTGAAAAATATACTAGCTACTATCTAGTCTAAATGTCTTACTGTATTTTTTTCTTTTTGAGTAAGTGCCCTTCCATATGTTAACACTGGGTTTGTTGTTTTTGTTTTTTACAGTGTCATAAGAAATAAACTGCCTTTTGAAGATTTTGATGGAGATAAATTTAGTACCTTCCCAGTAAGCAAAGCTTTTCCTTTGGTACAGTAATCCCTTGATAATGAGAATGTCTTATGGGATTCCTCCTACTTTCTGCAAAGCCTTATTCATTCATGCAAAAATGGATATAGGAGTGAAGCGAAAGGAGATTTTTTCTTACTAAAGGTCTTATTTTTTCTGTATGAAAAAAATAGTCATTCATTTATGCCACCTGGGGAGATGCACGCATAAAGCTGTACTCCCTGCAGAAGCAAATTGCTCTGCTGCTGAGTGGTCTGTTTACTGAATTAATAAGAGGTGAAGTAAAGTCATATAAAAAAGAAAATTAAATTGCCAGCTTGTCTTATTTCTGCTCCAAAATGTGCATAGCGTCTTTTATTAAAGCTTAGCAAAGGGGCTCTGGAATAGAACCCGTTTACGGGGCTTTATTCCTGCACCTCGAGCTAGATTCTCATTTTAGATATTTTAAATTAAAAGAACAAGAGTAACAATGAACATCCGGTTTGTGCGCTTCTCCTGGCTTTTAGACACTGAGGGGCTATCACTGGCGAGGCAGAGACTGCAATGACAAAAACGCCACCGTGTACCCCGGCAGACGGTAAGGCTTTTAATTGTTCTAAATGCATTTTAGTAACTACAGCTTCTTTAAGGACAAGCTCCGTGTTTGCTTTTGAGAGGGCGTGAGACAAGATATTTCGGATTTGCCCCAGCCTGGGGCTTCCGGCCGAATGCCCGGAAGCAGCTTGGGAGCGTTAGTGTGCTCTGGGGTGGCTGCAGTGCTGCTGTCTTCTCTTAATAAGCTGGAAGTTAAATCCCACACGTGAACCACACGGGGCCTGTGGGTCTTCTCCAGCACCCAGGTAAGGACGGGAAAACCCCCGTGCCCTGCGATGCAGTCCCCCCCCCAAATAAGGATCCCCCTGAAATCAGCGGAAGCTCTGAAAGAAGAACTGCCGGCCAAATGGGCCCAAAGGGAGAAGAAAGGGTTGAAGTATGAAAATCTCACGTATTTTGTGCGTCCCGTGCTGGTTAGCAGCGCCGGGGGAGGCAGCTCCAGGGTCCGGTCCTCACGGTATGTTGGCAGAGGGTTAAAGCTAAGCATGCATGCCCCAGTCTAGGTCAATAACTCCCAGTTAGCCCAGTGGGACATCCACACACACCCGAAACGGAGAACGTAGGCGGTGGTAACGCTGTGGGATGTTAAACAAGGTCTTCCGTGCTCACTGTTTTGCCCCGTGCCAAACAAGCTCAAAACGTTCTTTCAAAAAATAAAGCTCTCTTCTGCCGTGGGTTTATTACCAAGGTATTGATTGGAAAGATTTGTTAAACCTAGGCGTTAATTGGACTGCGAATTGGGAAGCTGAGTTTAAAGGTGTAGGCTGGGAAGAATTACGTTCGGTTCAGCCTCGGCAGCGCAACCGCATTGGTGGAAACGATCTTACAAAGCCACGGCAGTGAAAAACTGAATAGATGAAGTGTCTCTGCAAAAGAGGCCCGAGCTAATTATGCTGTGTTATGGGCCGGATCAAATCCTCATTCCATGCCACTGAATTTGAAGTCAGGGGGCTCAGTGAATTTCAATGAAATTTTAAAGGCTGTGGGAAGGAAAAAAGGGCCTGGCTTTTGTGAAAGTCATTCCCGTTCACGTCAGTTAAGTGAATGTGCAAGCGAAAAGGGTGTTATTCAGCACCCTCCAGTATCACTGCACTTTGGAAGGAAAAATTACCGCTCCTGAATTCAAAGAAAGAAAGAAACCTTGATGCAGAAAGGAATTTCTAATTATTTTATATTCTTAGCGAGAATGGCACAAAGAATCCGATTTCCTTAAAAGCCCCTTTTGCTTTATTTTCTGTAACCCTATATATCTTTTTGTAACTCTGTTTTAGTCCTGATAATTGGGATGTGAAAAGTGATTCTAACTGTAATGGCATATGGGTAAGTAAATTAAGTTACATCTTAAAAATCCTTCCTGATTGCTTACGCTTTTTTTTTTTCCTCCTTTAGGATTAGTCTGCGAGTGTTTGTTATTCTGGTTTATTAACTGAGTTGTGTTACTCCCATTTATTTATTGCCTTTGATATTCCCAAGTAATAACATCATACTTATTAAAAAATAAGGAAAAAGAGGAAACAGTTATGAAAGAAGTTTCTTTATTGATGCTTATGATTATTTAAATTATAACTATTAAAATTAATTTAAATGTACAAATACGTATTAAAACAATTTAACGGGTAACATCATTACTATGATGCAGTCCTTCCTACAGGCAAAAATTCAAGAACAAAATTCTTAGTATCCATTTTATAACATCATTTTTTAGGCAGTAGATAGATACTATCAATCAGCTCTGTCTTTTCTCCTCTTAACAGGGGGTGGATCCAAAAGATGGAATTCCCTATGAGAAGAAATTCTGCAAAGGTAAATCTTCAATATAAGCGACAATATGTATTTTGTATTCATTTCATACATATTTTAATATTTTTCATAGTCTTTGACAATGTAGAGAAAAGTCAACAGATTTATCTGCTTCATTAGAAAGGCAAAATGGCAAATTCCTTTTTTTTTTTTTCTTCAATCTTGAGAACGAGCAGAGAGGACACCTGAAAAGCACAGGCTAATACTAATTTCCTGTTAAAAGCCGGTGCAGTTACTGGGTCAAAATACAGAGATCAAGGATGGCAGCAAACGGAGACGCCTGCTCTGCGTCTTCCGTTGTGCTTGAAGCCTGCCTAACCTCCAGGGCATGCCTCTGGATTAAGGGCAGCGGTTTAATCCCCAGGTGTGCCCAGTATGACCCACTACTGTAAATACCAGGAATGTGATGCTGATGCTTTTTCTGAGAAGGCTTCAAAGAGGTGAACTAATACCATCAACCAGTGTCCCTGGCAGCAATGCGCGTGTGTGTGTATGTGCGTGTGTGTGTGTGCATGAATACACGCATACACAAATAAAGCACCGTTATTAAACAGCCATAACCATCAATTGCTGCTCACCCTGGCTTTTATTTAAACCACCATCCTGGAGATGAACCTTTGCCTGGCAAGGCTCTCTGACGCATGAAAGACAATCTACAGATGCTAAGTAATGTTAATTATCAGAAAGCCAGATTTCTGCAGCGGAAATACTTATATGAGTAGAGCATCCACTATCTAGTTCAATTATAAAGAGCTTTTAGCAGTTTCCTGAGTAATCTGATTTCCCAAAACATTTGATTTTAAGTATTTTTAAATGAATATCCTATAGGTCATAAAAACAGATGTTAGCAGCACAGCAGAGCCTGTGCTGAAATAACAGATCTGTCCTTGAATAAAACCCTATGGGAATGTTTCTGATTAGCAAGAATATCTCTCCCTCTTATTCATGCCAGGTACCAAGTGGTTTTGCGTAGCTGTTGGCACATGCCTCTCCATAGGTTTTTCCTGCAGCTGGAGTGAAAATCCCATAGCAGGGCCGGCGCTGCCGAGATGTCAGCCACGCGAGCGGTGGCCGGCACTGCATTTGCACTGCCACCCCCATCAGCTGCCGGCGCTGCTGCTCTTTCGGCATTGGTCTTCATGCCCTGTCTCAGTTTGGTTTTGGTTTTTTATGGGCACGTGGCCTGCCTGGGTTGGACTCTTTTATATGACTAAAAAAGGTATTACTTAGGTGCGGACTCCCGAGGGGTCGTTCTGTTGGGGGACTCGGCCGGCGCCCACTTCCACATCCCTCCCGAATGGATGACGGTCACGCGGATGTCGGCGGTGAGAAATCGCGCTCGGGTTGTCGAAACTGTCCCACCGCCGGCTGCCGTTTGCTTTCTGCCCCGTGCCACTGGTTGCCAAAGGGCGACAAGTGCAAAACAGCCGTTGCACTGGGATTTACAGGCCAGTCTCGTGCACCTAGGGGAGCCGCTGCTCTCCTGCGAGCGAAAAGGCATACCATCTCTGAAATTGTGTCAGCAAAGAATTTGTCTTCCCCGCTCTAGCACCCTGCCGGAGACATAAACCAGGACATCTGGCTTTAAAAACACTAGCCCGTGATTCAAGGAGACCCATGCTGTCTGTGGGATCCGTCCTGCCATCGACGAGCACTTCCGTTAGCTTGCTGCTGCGGCTCCTGCTGCGGAAAAGCGTTGCAGAGTTGGCAGTTCAGGGACTTCTGTTCTAGGCATCTGTTTTTGAAATTACACGTCCCAGACTGCTTTCCCTCATCTGTGGCATGTATGAAATAGAACTAATAACTCAAGTATTCAGGCTCCGAGGCTTACTGCGCAGATACGTCTGCAAGTGTTGAAGGGTCACCCAGGGACTTATGATGGAAATGCCCTAAAGGAAAGAGTTTCTGTAGTGACCACAGTATATAACACAATGGATGTCTGTCTTCAGATAGGGTCACAGCATTTCCCGTTTTCAAATAACAAAAAATTGCACCGGCCTGAATTATGCTGCTACTACAGCTGTTGCAGTTCACTGGTTTGGAATGAAATAATTGAGGGGAAAAGATCATTCTAACAAACTGCAACTGAGTGGTGGAGATAAATGTGCAGGTATACTCCTGTTCTGCATCATCTTTTCCTCCCAGGAGCACATTTATGCTGGGCTGATGTCGCTCCCTAACTGGGGAGGACTGTACGTTTTTCTTCTCTCCACAAGAGCTATGTTGTGTGAAGGTAAGCAGATGGGGGAAATGCCCAAGAGCAACTTGGGTCGTTGCTCATCTTCCCTGATGGAAATATGCTACTCCTCCATTGGCCTCTGTGGAAGAGGAATATGGAAACATCCTAGAGAATAATTTCAAAATTCTGGTATTACAGTGCTATTGGAGGTATGAGCGTTTCAATCAGAATTGTATGTATTTTCCCACTTTTGCTCCCAGAGCTGAGCTGATTTAGATATTGTAGATTAGCAGTTGTTTTTCTTTGTTAAACGTTTATGGGCAATGATTAGACAAATGACAGTTGATGACAGAGCTGATGATGAGCGTAATAAATTAGTGCTAATGATAATTGAGATTATCTTGTCTAATAAAGATGGTAATAATACTGATGGTGATGATGATTCTGGCAGTGACACTGGTAGCAGAGTCATGTATGCAAGTACAGTTTTAGACTGTGTCAGCATTTTATTGTCACTGACATGAAGGTTTAGAAAGTGCTTCTCCTGCTTGAAACTCATGAGTCCACTAGCTGGATGGCTCAAGGGCTAGTAACAACATACAAAAGCAGAGGCTTCAAGGTCAGGAGTTGGAGTGCAGATTATGAAGTGGTTTTTGATTGCGATTTATTACTGTCTGAGGGGGGAAGAGCAACTTGCATGGGAAGGGAACTGGTGCTTTCTGCATAAGGCCTAACAACTATGTGCTCTCGACGCTGAACTCCAGCTGGCTGGCTTGTAAGGGAGATCAGGGACTGATTGGAAGTGGAGAAGTGGTGATTCTTTCCTTTGCAGAAAGGATGATTCAGGTCCTTCATCAGGGTAGTGAGGGCAAAGAGAGACATATTCACCGTCTGGCCTTTCCTGTTCACACCACTCACTCACAGGATATAATATAAAAGAAGTTAAGGCCTCACTGAATTGGAGAAGCTAAATAAAGTATGTGAGTTATTAAAGAAGCAGCCTGGACCTCACATGGAGATGCAGGGGAGCCAATGCTGGCTCTCCCACCGGAGGAGGTCAGGAAACGGGGCAGCTTTTGCAGCTAGAAATAAAGCCAGATGGTGGGATGCAGACGAGGCAGCTCCATCCATGAACTTTTGCAAGGAGACCTGCTTCAGGGAAAGCAGTGGCTGGCCTAGTCCTGATCCTCAGCAGCCTTGTCTCCTCCATGAAGACATCATTGTTCAGAGGGTGAGGACCAAGGCTCAGACCCTGGACTCAGACCCTTGCCTCCATAGCTGCTCCCCTGACTTTGCGTCTTTGCCTCTTACCATTCATCTGAACCATTTTCTGGGTTAACTCATACAATATTCTCAGTCACGTTCACACAGTCTTCTGCCAGAGCAAGCTCCTCAAGGCCTAGACTTGCTGGGTTATAGTCAGGAGACCAGATTCTTTTTGCCTGCACTTAGGTCATTATTTGCACCAACACAAAGCACATATACAATTCTAGCATTGTGATTTGGCAGCATTTCGGGATATGTTGATAATGGGTAATGTGGAGGAACTTGAAACAGTCAGCTATAGCTACCCAGCCCAGAGCATGGCTTGGCTTATTGGCTGGCAGGAAATGCAGCACTCCTGTGGCTAGCAGAGCACTTCTGTAGCACGCTGCACGGTTGGCTGGGTGTCTTGGGTGCGTGAGATTCAGGATAAGAAAGAACAGGCTCTTTTCTAGTATTATTTGCAAACTTTCCTACAGGCCTGGCAAAAATACAGCAGTTAAGTTTTAATGCAGTGATACAGAGAAAGTTCACTCCTGTGAACAATCAAGGATCTGTGTTTAAACTCTGGCAATTATAAAATGTTATTTAATTTGTATCCCACCCTAAGTAAGAAAGTTGTTAGGGCATGAAAATGCCAGCAAAAAAATTTGTGAGCAAATTCAGGCTTTGCCACTGACTCTTGCTCTTGCTTTTTCTCTGTGTCTCGGTGTTTCTGTGGGTAGAATGGCAACGGCAGCAGCTCACCCAGCCTTGGGGCTGTGAAGGTGCCTTCACAATGCACAGTGTTAAATATTGCTGGTGAATGTCCTTCATGTGCTGATTTACTTAACAAATCGGAAAGGAAACCTGCTATTTTTAAGCTTTTAAAAGTTATTTCTGGATGTTTCTGTAGTGAGACCAAAGCATAAAACTGAGGAAGATGTTCCATGCTACTCAGATAGCCGGTGAGAGATTTCCACATCGGAACTGAGCCGCCCTTCCTCCTTTCCTCCCATCCGTCCTCTCTCTTCCTCTCCCTTTCTCCCTCTCCCAACAGCACAAATGAAGGGTTAAAACTGCAGGTCATGGTTTTCAATTCCTGTAAAAACAGCGAGCTAGTAGCGTGATCTCAGGCTAATCGCCGTGTGCTGGAAGCCTGTGTGCCTTTCCCCCACAGGATATTGTCAACCAGCATTAATCTTTCTTCAGCGCTAGGCCTTCCTCGAGGAGAATTTCTAATCACATACAAGGTTTGTTTTATGACCACAGAGAGTGCAGAGAGTTTAGTCCCAATCTCGCAGAAAGCATCCTTAATTTGGGACCGCAGCAAGGATTCAAAGGTAGGGCTCTGAGGCGGGGAGGATAAGGCATTAGCCTCGTGTCCCTGCTATTCCCTGGCGCTATCAAATTCCTGCGATCCTAAAGTCACTTCATTTTGATCCTTCCAAAATTTCTTTGATAAGACACATAGAAAAATGAGCTTATCAATCAAATGGTTTTCTCTCAGTCAATGCTAGAGTTAGTTCAAAGCTTTGATTTCCATTTCAATGGATTCTTAATCCTCTACATGGAATTCCAAATAGGACCCCCCTCCCGCAATAATTTTATCATGTTATAAGGAAAAAGTTGTGTGACTCTTAATTCGTAGTTATTAACTGCTGCATTTTATTATTTTTATTATTTTCTGTTTCTCCTATTTATTTTACATATTTTATTTCAAATATTTCTTATTTATATTTGCCCTTATACACATTTATTAATAGTAAAATATGCACTCAGTAACAATTGTTTGGGCCCTCTTGTTAATCAGCACCACATCGGTGGCAGCTGTTAATTCCTGTTTTCGAGCTGATTAGGTGGCGAAATAATTTTACAGGATAGATGCTGAGAATTTTAGTTAAGAGCCTCTGCAGAGTGGTTGCTTTGCTTGATTACACTGTATATAGTCTACCAAGCAAAGGAGCAATAAAGATGAATGAGGGAAGATAGAGAATATTAATGATAAATTTCCTCGCTGAAGTAGTCTCAGGATGTCATTTGGGTTAAGTGAATGCTCAGCATTGGCACGACCAGATGGTCTAGTTTGGGCAGAACAGATTTGGAATTAAGATCCTTGCTCCATCTCATGAAAGACTGTTGTTAGGGAGCTGTTTTATACTGGATTTTAGAAGTCCTTGCCCCCTCGGCCTAGCTGGCAAATCACTGCCTGCTTAGCATTGGCCTCACACAGGATCATACCCCCGTGTGATCCAGTGCAAGGGGAGATGCCCACGTGAGATGTCCTGCATCCAGGTGTGCGATGGGGAGTCCCTTCGTACCTTTATAGTCTTCCTTTTCTTTTTTTGAGATGGGAGCCCGTTTCACGAGGTGCTCCTTGAGATGCGCACCATGTGCGACCTAGGACATGTGTTTTCAAACTCCATTTCCAAAATCCGTAGCTGGAACTCAGTCATAAACACCGTAACAATCCTGCTGAGCAGGTGTTCTTCCTACCAAGAGCGTACAGAACGACCACAACCTATGGAAAAAGTCCATCGCAAGGTGGACACATCTTGGAAAGCTACAGTTGAGATAGATGTGCTATTTCTCCAGTTTATAAAGGAAAAAAAAAAGTATAGGAACGTGCAGGTACTTCAATTTTCCACAGATCTGCCTCAGTCCTTGACCAGCCTTATACTGCTGTGCCCCAAAGTCTGCCCTACAGGTATTTGGCTGAGGTGCAGCCACACAGACAAAATGATGTCAGGCCCATGACTGAGTGTATCTGCATGCATTTTCCTGCAGAGGCAGCTGCAGTGAGTGGCGTTGCCCTTAACTTGTCGTAACTCCATTAAATCCCCAAGCACCCAGAGCACAATTACAGGAATGGGTTTATACAACTGTAAGAAGGGGATGAGTCACCTTTATTTTGGCTTCCTTCCTGTCAACAGATTTTGGTTTCATCAGGCTTTTCTCCTATAAAAAAGTTCAGCAGAACTGGGCTGAATGTTCATTCCTTTGACATGAAAACGTTGACATAAAAAACACAATTTAATGCAGTAGACATATATTTCATGAAGTTTAGCAAAGCAGAAGTGCTGTCTTTTTTTGAGGTGGACAATTTTTGAGGAAAGCTAATGTTAAAAACACTGGTGTGTCTAGCAGTCGATATTGCTCTCCTGCTGCTCTGTCCATCTGCTTACAATTGACTTCCAAAATGCTACTAAATGCAGTGTTTTTCTGTTATGTGTCTGGAATAGGAGCTTACTTTTAAATCTCATTTTAAAGACCGTTTTATTTGGAGATAAAAGCACTATATTTATAAATGGGCTGGTGATACCCTTTCTAGGAAGGTGCATTTAAAAACTCTTGGTTCTTCATTTCATGCTGAATAAAGAGAAAAATAAATCCTACCTCTGTCTGTAATCCAGTAAATATCTATTTGGCCATGAACTCAAGGGGTTCTCAGGCTTCATTTAAACAACTGGTTCATGCTATATATTACATATGCAGAAAAGTTCATCATTTCTTTAAATGCAAATTCAAGATGAAAACATGTCCTGAATACTTATCCCACTGGCTTCCTTTTGCACCGCTGGAAATAACAGGAATTTCGTATGCAACAATCTTATTCCAAACATTTTCTAGCTTCACTCTAAATCCAGTAAAGTGAAGGCAAGTTTCTATCAACTGATGTTGTGATAACTAAGATGCTGTAGTTTTGGGAAATAAGGCTGCTATTTTCCTAATTTCAAACTTATTCCTTTGCAGCTTTACAGAGTATAAATGCTGTATATGATTTTTTAAAAAGATAGGATATTCCTTCCTCAAGAGCTGTATGGTGTGCTTATTTGAATACTTCGAAAGAGAATGTTATCTGGGGTATTTAATGCTATCTAGAGGATCTGAACAGAATTAGAATGACAATGAAAACAAATAGCCAATTCCCCTTCAAATTAAGGGATACTTCAGCGCTCACAGAATTTCTGCACCTGCCATTTCCGCAGGTTCAGATGAGTGTTAAGTGTCCAATACCCTTCTGTGTCCTGATTTTGAAAATCTCTTGCCATAGCAACCTGGAGCGTTCTTCTATTTAGGCTAACTTTCTTCAGCGTGGCTTGGTACCTGCCTTTATCATCGGCCATGGTTTTGGTTGCCCTGCGCATCAGAAGTGCGAGGGTTTGGGGAGACATGCTTCCAGGTAGGACATGTCTAGGAGGTGAGAACATTCCTTCGAAACGAGACTTGTCTAGAGCATTTGAGGCTAAAATAGGACATTTGAAACTAGTCTGGAATAACTTCCTAATCATTCTCTGCTTAAATCTGACACTAGGCTGAAGCGCGGTTTCTCAGTCAGAATAGCCTAGAGAATGGTGTTTAGACAAGGCTATGCTCAAAAGAGTTTTAAGCTAAAAGTCAACATAGACTCAGCTCTGGAGACTAAGAAAAATGCAGTCTGTTGCTTAGACTATCTTTTCCAAATTACGTCCCTGCAGAGTTCAAGGCCTAGCATTCTTCTGCAATTTCCATTAGCCACTCGTCTTCACCTTTCCGTCTCGAAATATCTTCAAAAGTCTGGTTTTAAGTGCTCTGCTGGAACAGTGTCGATGCTAACTTAAATACAGTTTTCAAGTGCAGCAATAATACTGAGCTTATACTTTCCTTTTCAATGAAATTTCCAACTCAGTTAGTTAGGTTTTGGCTAAATCATATCTAAGCTAAGTTTGCAGGAAAAAAAATTTAAAATTATTATGAGGCCTATCCAATGAAATCATGATTTTGGAATGTTAATAGGCATTAATGAGAAAATTGGTCACAGAAGGATTTGTTTTCGAAAATACGTTATCATATTTGGGCTCTATGCGTATAAGCTCTGACTGATGAGAGACCATGGCTGTTGTTTGTTTTATGCTAAGTTACTTCAGATGTTTCTGTTGCCTTTAATGCAAAGCTACAGGGAGGCAAATATTCCAAATGGCCAAGCCATACAGCACAGTTTAACAGCGCCTCCATTTCTGTTCCTAACAGTGCCCTTCTACTAAGTGCCTGCTGGCGCACAAAACTATCGGCTTTGAAGAAGGCAGGTTTTAAAATTCCCTCGAGTCTTACAAAAAAAAAAAAAGATAAATATATACACACACATACACACAGGCACACATGTATACGAGAGAGAAGGAAACAGCTGAAAGGTAATTGAGCCAGAACCATTTTCACCTTGGTAACTAAAGCAGATCTATTGTAAGTAGGTCAAATATGCCATTACTTGCTCTAAACTGGCATCTGCTGTGCATTAGGCTGCTCAGAGCTCAGCTTCAAGATTTCTTGCCTCTCCTGCCCCGCTTTACTTGCCTCTCCCCCAGCCTTTCACAAAGAAAACCTGTCATCATCTGCTCAGGCAAAACGCCCATTCCCTTAAATGCTAATTCTGCAGGCAGGAGGACTTGGTGGGAAGGGCAAGATTTAGCTCTTCTGCTCTTCATGAGTTACCTCTGACCCTCCCGGAGAACAAATTATCCACCTGCTTGCTGTTTATAGTAGTGAGGGTTTAAAGAAACACCACAATTGCTTCAGAAGAAAATGAAGCTAATAAATTACGTGGATTATACCAGCCTGTAGGTTTCCTTATTTTATGTTTTGACCTTCTTTTGGTTATTACCTTTTTCATCAACAGTTTTTCAGTATGAGCGCACCGATTTATGCATTTGTCTTTGCAAGCGTACCCCAGACTAGCAGAAGCTGAAAATTTACACCATGCTCTTGTCCTTCGGAGACAGTGCAATTTCTCGAGCCCGTTTTTCTCCCCTTTCATGATTTTTGACACATTCACAAATCACAATGGAAGAGAACAGAGCGCTGTATTTTGAATGTTCAACACAGCTTTCATCTGCATAGAGGCTGTTGCTTAGAAAAAAGCATTAGGGACTAATACCAGCAAAAGCAGAGACAAATAAAGCTTGCATCTGTTTGTGTGGGAGGGTTATCATAGCACAAGCGATTTTCTCCCTCTCTGTTCAGGGGTCCCATTCTCACTCTGCTGCTGCAGTGGGTTCCCCCCACTACACGCACTCAGCTGCAGAAGTGTTTTTGTGGCAGGCCCATGACCTTCTTCTGTTGGCGGGAGTAGCAAAAATGCAGCAAAATGTATCTCTCCAGCCTTACGAATCCAGCAAATTCCAGTATGACCAGCAATGGGAAAGGTGGCATCTGAGGAAATTTGCAGTGAGGACCACGTGGAGGTTTTTAGGAGGCCAGATGCTTGCAGTCCAGTCTGCCAGAGAGTGAGTGGTGGCATCTAGTGAGTGAGTGATGGCATGCGTGGTGAGTGAATGCAGCGTTATTCCTGTCTTCCCAGCCCTCTGCTGTATAAGTTGTGAAAATCATGCTGGCATCTCTTCCCATGTCTGTAGAGACCCACATGTGGATAGTCTGGATGCTAAACTGAAGGCTGCAGCAAATCTCTGCTATTTCAGTTGCCTGTACCTGCAGTATGCACTATGCATTGTGAGGAGTTTTGGACTCTTTCAGAATGAAAGTGGATGTAATTCAAACGTCTCTGCCAGCCTCAGGTTCTGCTCTTTCTTCCTCCTTCTCTTGTTATGTTTGTCATACAAGCATCAACTTTTTAAGTATATGTGTAAATAATTACAGCTATAGCTTCCACTGGAATTGTTGCTATCTGGCTAATGTTCCAACTAAGAAGTGTTTGAGTTTGTAGAAAGGATTTTGTTTGTGAAAGTGAACCCATGTTAATTTAAAAATTTCTCTTTCAGAAAGCATTTGCTAATCTCCCCATGGCTTTCACTGATGAGCTTGACTGGCCCCAGTTCTCAGAGGTCACTGGATTTCTGAATTCCACAATTGGGTAAGTTAGCAGAAGGTGAAGCCAAGTCTAAGCAAGACTTAAGACCCTCAAAACACAGCAAATTCTGGAGAAAAACCCCGTGCTTGAAAGGAAAGCTGAAAATACTAGTGAAGACTGCTTCAATTCTTTCTAAGATCAAGATCACCTCCATACCTAGAGTTTTTTAATCTCTCCTTTTAAATATATGGACAATGCAAAATATTCTTTCTGACATTCATGGTAGGTTTTAGAGCTGGACAAATTTTAATTTAGAAGGGGAAAAAAGAGGAAAAAAGATTGAACTCTTGCTTCTTTCAAAATTCTACTGCGTAGGAGGTACAGGCGAAGGGGAGCATTGTTGACACTAATAAAAATCAGCATTTTGCTTTTCTTAGCTTTTTTTCGTTTTCTTAGGTTTTTTTCCTCTTTCTCTTTTCCTCCTATTTCCTTTCTGTTGCTGAAACAATAGAATAATGGTAATCGAGAGTTATTTTGATGATATCTCTTTTTTGGGTGAAGTTTCTTTCCTTTATTGCACATTTAGAGGGAAGTAGCAAAAGCAGAATTTGGCAAAGCCGGTGACCTAACTTCCTCTGTTGCACTGGCTGATGCAGATGGGGAAGAGTGCTGGGTTATACGGATAGAAAAGAAGTCTCAGCCAAAGCGGGGGAGGGAGAAATAAAGTGTAAACGTAACAAAAACGCTTTCAAATAGGTGCATTTTGAACCACAAAATGAAAGAAAAATCTTCATAATTTTATCAGTTATCATTCTGACCGGTGTTTGGAGGCCTTGCCTCGTGCCAAAACTAAAGGACAGAGTAATCAGTAGCGCCTACTCCAGCCTACTGCAAAGTGGGTGAGACTCAGGCGTTAGCTGATGGATACTTGAAACCTAGGTGCTACATGTTACACGGGTTTTTTTTTATTTTATGTCTACCATGTAAAGTTTCTGCACTGAGATAGACCATGAATAAGGTGAGATGCCAAACCAAGCATGAACCAAGCCTAGAAAAGCCCTCTAAAAACAGAGTTAAAAAATTGGGACAGTATATTCTTTTCTAGGAAGAAAAACATCTACTGCACCATACACTTGTACGTTCTGCTTTCTTTTCTCTGTCCTACAAAAAAACAGGCTCCCGACCTCAGCTACATTTACCCAGTCAATGTGTTAATGATGTGGTTCAGTACTTGACAAGCCAACAGAGAAGATCTATGGAGCCTCCTCTTTCAGTGTAACAGCAAAACCGGCTTTTAAAGATCTATTTTAACAGTCAGTTACTGGCTATTCAGTATTTATCTGGGCTGCAAAAATCTGAAGTTCATAAGGAATCAGAACTTAGTATTGACCCTGAAGTTGCCAGTGATAGGCCTTGGATCAATGTTCAAAGTTTTTAATCTTTTTTTTGTTTTAATCTCTTCCAAGTCTGGAAGAAAAAAGAGACTGTCTGGGAGTTCAAGTCATTTTTAAGAGGAGCAGCTCAGACTCTCATAACACGAGAAATAAGTCTGGTTGAGAGAACAGGCAAAGTAGGGTGGAAGAGAACAGTATGCAGAAAGACTACCATTTATTGTGAGTTTGCAGAAATGGAGACACAAACTGATATGCTCTGTGCCCATCCTTTCCACCCCTAATCAGTAAACAGGGATACCAATGATTAACTAAATAGCACATCCTCTGACCCAAGAAATTCTGTTTGCTTTTCCTCAGCTACCTTCGTGCTAGGCTGAAAACCAAAGATTTCAAACATTCTTTGTGTAGCTTATTGCATGGTTACTGCTTAGCATTATCGCACGTTTCTATGTAACTAGTTGTTTTTTTATCGCTGGTTTCAAAACCTATCATTCGTTTATGTTTTTCTGCATTCATCTATGTTTGCCGTTCTTAAGCCCAGGTAGTTAAGTTACCTAATTTCTTCAGTGTCTAAGTTCAAGCACAAGAACAACAGCTCTGCTAAAGATCACCAGGTACTCGTGGCTCTGGAAACTGTTCTTACTAACCGCTTCCCCAGGGACTGTTGTTCTTTATAGGAATTTTCATTTTTCTCAACAGAGCAAAGTAAAGGAGAAAACTAATGAGGATCAAACACAACCTGTTTTCTACTCAATCAATCTAAGATTTATGGCATTGGGAAAGGAGTGGTCTGCCGATATGTCTTCTTTTTATTTACTGTTCCACAGCAACGATGTGCAGTCGAATACTGAGCAGTCAACAGGATTGTTTTGATAAGTAATATAGCACATAAAAGTTCATAAACACCTCATCTGAAGGATCAGGATAAACATCGAGGATGGACAATTTGAAAGAAATTATCCATCAATGTATAGTTTTTGCGAGACTATCTTGGCTTCCATTTTAGGCTAACCTAGTCAAAGTAAAGAAAATTATACGACGAAAAGAGAGATGGCAAAACAGGAGTATATATGTAACCGGGGCACAGAGTTGTACAGAGTCAGGAACGTACTTCCTTTTTAATGTCAAAAATGTTTTCACTGACATCACATGAGTTTAGCAGCTTGTGTTTTTTCCATTTATTTCAGAGGTTGGACAGACTCTCTGTATCTACGTTTACGCAGGAGAAATCGCTGTAATCACAGAGATTTACAGAACATTTCCCAAAATGGTATGTTAAGTTTTTTCACTTCTTTTTTTAACCTTACTAGGCAGATACTTGGTGCTGCATTGGTGGATATCTTTCAGAAACAGAGAGAAAGCCCTTGCTAGTCACATGCATGTCTTGTGGAAAAGCAGAGAACAGCGCTGATTTAACTCAGCATCTTTTCTTCTGCCTCTAAGTAAGGACGTGGGTATGTGATTGGCCACTTTATCTGTGCTGTGACTAAGGACTTCCCCTTGACTGAGTACCAGCATACCCCGCTGTAACCCTGAAGTGTTTTCCCCAAATGGGAGGATTTAGATGGACTTTGCTGGTAGGGATGGAGCTAAAAGCTCCGGCCACCGAGCTGAGAGGGATCTCATCTGGAGGAGATCTCTCTGGCTCTAGCATGATCTCTGCTTGCTCATATACCCTTCAGATTTTGAAGGGGTAATCAAGGACACAAAGGTCAATGAAGCTGAGGAGAAAACTTAACACTTTTATCGAAGACAGATTTTGTCAGGCTAGGTTAACATCTTTTTCCTATGAAATAACATCCTTCCTAGGCAAGGGTATATGCAGCAGATCTAATGTATCTAGATTTAGGGAAAGTGTCTTACATGGTACCTCACAGGAAATGTCTATGTACAGTGAAGAAGAGGGGGATTAATATGAGAAATAAGAGGTGGGTAAAGAACCAGCTGAACAGGCAAGAAGAGCGGGTTTGCGAGAGAAACCATCAATCTGCAGAGAAGGGATTAGCAGGGTCCCCAGGCATCTGTCCTGAGACCAGTGCTGCTTCATATTTGGAGCAGTGACCTTAGCGTGTGCTTCTGAGCGCCTGTAGCTGATGCAAAATTGCAGGGTATTAACAGTCTCGAAGTAGGCCATATCTTTATATATAAATAGTTTAGATGAGCTTGTGAACGGCAGTGACAGCAATGGCATGAAACATAATCATACAAGTCATGAGCATTGGAGCTAGTGAGGGGACTCTGGTCCATAAGCTAGCTGCTCATCAGTGAGGTCATGGAGGGAGAGACAGATTGGGGTGCAAACGGGAATTTCAAGGAGCGCAGAATAGTGCTGGAAAGGGGTTAATGGGGTTGCATTTTCTCTAGAGACGGGAAGAATGGTTTAAACCGAAGGACAGTCCTGGTACAAGAACATGGATATGCATTAGTCCTATCTCTATTTCAAATGGAAATTTAAAAATTTACTGACTATCCAGCAGTGAAAACCTACAATAGTCCTCTAAACAGAGGAATGAAGGTAAACATAAACTCCAAGCTGTTTCAAGATGGAATTTGATCAAATTTACCAACGAGGTTGTATGAAAGGAGTAATCTCCCTTAGAAATTAAGGTTTATGGTGTTAGGCTTTATGTGTTGGATTAGGTGATGTCCCTGGCAGCAGGTTTAAAAGATAATTGATTATTCTGTGATTATCTTATTGTATTTGTATTGTATTTAATTAACTGCCATGCTTTAGAAAATTGGCTGGAGAAGCTAGGGAAAGCTTATTCTCCTCAGGTGGGTAATTTGGCTTTGTGGGATATTTTCATGTCTGACAGATGAATCATATTGGACACAGGTGAGGAGCACTGTTGCCCCTAGCATGATTTAAAAACTTGTTGAGTGCTTAGGATTAGGTTTCCTGCCAGATTTAGACTCAGAAAGGGTGTGCTCCTGCCCCCAGCTCAGGCAGACAGAGATCCTACTGGGTGAGAGAGGTTGCCCAAACATGTTGCGTGAAGCAAGGCTCACCTCCCAGGCTCACCTGAACGTTCTCACCAAAGAAATTCCCTTCTGGTGGCAGGACCTATGGCACTAGGAGTGCCTCTGATCAGTCTTCTTCCTTCCTGTGGCACATGTGGTATTTCTGAGGCTTTTGGTCTTTTGCACAAATGTTCTGCAACGTTTTTGGCAGGCCGTTTGTCTGTGGGCTTGGCGGGCAGTTGGCTATGAACCCTCTGAACTTCTTGTCCAGCAGTCACAGACGACTTGGATCAGCAGCTCACGTGATCTCCGTCCTGTGTTCCTCATCCCTCAGATACCCTTTCCGATGAGGGAACAAAAAAAGGCTAAAACTAGACAGTCACAGTAGTCCTTCTCACTTAGGTCTGCTTAATCGAACTGCCTGACACCCTGTCACCTTGTTCTGTCCCCTTCACGTGAACTGGGGGATGCACTTGCTCCTCTTCCTTCTTTCCAGTTCCATCACAGACTTTAAAAAATGTCTCACTGTGTGCATCGTTCCTCTTTCTTTTCATCTCATATATCTCTTTTACACTTACACTACAGAAGCCTGCAGGGTATAAAAGGAGGTTAGCTGGTGTCAGGGCAAACGGCTCTGAAGAAAACCGAAAGGAGAATTTACAAAGGGAAGAATTACAAGTGATAGAAAAATCCCAGGACATCTTTCCTTAGTGCCTTCTCTTAATCACCGCTGACACAGTATTACAAAGGTTCAGTTTTATTGCCTCATTTGGTGTAACAGTTTCCCCAAACGGGAGGGTTTAAACGGACACTGTCAGTATCAGTAAAGCACAAAATCTGACCACCAGCCTGACCCAGCCCCACTTGGGAGAACTTCACCTTCCTCCGAAAATAACTCTCCGCAGGCTGAGAAACACAAAACGAAAGGAGGAGGGATGAGGGTGCATCGCCAAACCCGGGGACATGGTCTCCCGCTCTCCTGGTCTCCTGGGTGCAAAGGGGAAGGCCTCCCGCTGTGCGCCGGCACAGTCAGCAGGTGGTTGGTGCTCGGACTCGCCAGCTTTGACAGCTCTCCCTGGAAATCCACCGAAAGACAGGCTTGTCTCCAGCCAGCCTGCGAAGCCACCCCAGCCTTCAGCATCTGCACCAGCGCTCAGCTAGGAGGAGCTTCCCCTGTGGTCCCCTTTAGCATCCCTCGTGGGAAACGCACCTTCTTCACATCGGTGGAAAACTTTCCCAGCTCGCGTGCTGGGGGGTTTCTACCTTCACTTTCTAAATTCTGCTAAGGGCAGGAAAAAGAAACATGTCTTCTAGAGGCACATGGCCCCTTCCCTCCCCCTGCACTGGCCATGCTGTAGGGTATGAACTAGAAAGTTTTTCTAAATGTTCTCTCGCATTTGTTGAAAATCACTTGCTTTCGTAGAAGAGTCCTGATAGTAAAGTCAGTTGCTAAAATATTCCAAAAAAATCATTACATAAACACAGGCAAAGTGAATACCCTCAGAATTTCTAAATAATTACAGAACAATTTTGCAAATATCACCCATATTTTCTATGAGATACATGGAAAAATATGCTATTTCAAAGCACTGGTGTTATATATTCCTTTTCCATTTGTAGTTTGATCTTTTTCTTTGGGACTCTTCCCTTTGACCAGAGAAATTATGTCTTGTTAACATGTGCTGTGGCTCACTGAGCAATCAAGCACCAGATATCTCATGGTGGCTTCAAAACCAGTTAAGAAATAATAATGTTACTTTAATTTCAGCTCTCTTGGAAATACTAGTCTGCCTGGAGTTCATCTAGAGAAAACTGCAGAATTTTCTCTTTGTACCGTTACATTTCCAATTGCTTTTATAGTGTAGGGGAACAAAAGATTAAAAAGCAATAAGCCGTTCTCAGTAACTCGACACTAGTGTAATTGTAACTGGTGTAATTGGTGCAATCTGGAACTAGACTCTTTCTATGCATGTTAACACCGCTCCTTGTCAACCTCACAAGGTCTAGAGCAAGAAAATTAAGAATTGCATCTCAGAAGTATTTCAAGGTGCGTGGAATTTGGGTTCATTCACAAGCAGAAGCAAAACAACCCTGACTCCTTACCAAAAATAAAAATCCCACTGGTCTGAAAATGTTTGGAAAGCAACAGAGAGGGGAGCAGGAGAGATCCAAGAAAAATTGTTGGGATACTCAACAGGACAAGGGTAACTGAAGTGCAGTTGTTCTGCCTTGATTCTTTTTCTCCCTTGCATATTTTGAACACCAGTTCCACCCTGGATCATAAAAACTTCCTTGATGATTCAATTTACCCCTAAAAACAGTTCTCTAAAAATACCCTTCATTTTCTTGATTTGCTGCTTTGATTTGTCACTGTCTCTAACGCTTTCGATCTGCTACATACAATCACTCATGGAGGTAATACACATCTAAGAACAGCTTCTTACTTTTCTGTAAGCCCACCTTTAGTTTCTGGGGCTCCTAAGGTTTTTTGTGGTAGAACTGTGGGCCTCAGAGACTCTGGGGAACTGTGCGCAGATTGGCTTAACAGAGGGATGTTTTAGGCTCTGTTGAAATCTTACTGGAAGAAGGGATATTAAACAGGGGACGTTATGTTCTAAGCCATATTGTCTAAGGGTTGTTTGTGGCTCTTATTCTGCTGAAAGGAGCTTCACGACAGAAGGAACAGCCTTTGAATGGCCCAGCAACCCTCAAGAGAGAAGTGGCAGAGAGATATATTCATTTTTAGGCAGGAAGAACTGTATTATTTAAAACATAAAAGATTACTTGATAGATGCAGCTGGCATCACAGTGAGTGATAATAACAAAGGCACTGATATTAAAATGCAAAGTGTATTATTGCTACCTTAGGGGTTTATCTCTTAGCTCTTTCACCGGCACTGATCCAGCAGAGATTTAATGATGTTCCATCCACAACTTTCGCACCACAAGCTGCAGGGAGGGCAGGATTTGCTCCTTAAAGCACACATCAGAGGGACAATGCAGAGCGAGAGGAAAAGAGAGATAGGGAAAAGCTGAGTGAAGAATGGAGGGAGTGTAACATAAGAAGAGAAGGAGAGAGAAGAGAGGAGAGAAAGCATGAACGCAAAAGAAGTGCAACCTGTAGGCCTGCTCCTCTGAAGCTTATATTTCTGTACGCCTATAGTGACGTCTTTCTGTTGCTGTAAAGTGAGATTCTTGCGATCACAGTCCTGGTCTATTCTTAAACAAAACATAATGCCCTTTTGGCTACTCGCTTGCTGGCGCTCTTCACTGCAGGTGGTAGAGTTTGATTTGCGCGCGGTAGATAGTCGGGATGTATGTGTGTAGCCTTTAAAGACCTGCTAGTAAGTTTTGCACATAAAAGCTTTCCCTAATTGGGAACACTTTTCTGATTCAAGGCATAAATGAAACATTATATACGTTCACAGATGCTTAGTTAGTTAGATGTTTAGTTAGTTCTTCCCCCGGAGAAGGAAAGACTTGCATCTAACCATTTGGGTGAATTACTACTGAAATGCAGAGCTGCTCAGGAAGGGTGCAGTTGGCCTAATACTGTTTTTCCCAGGTCTGCCACTCACAGTGAGAGCAATGCGGACGTCTGAACGTTGATGTCTGTGCTATTTTAGATGCTTTACAGCGTCTTCCCAGCCTCCAGCTGCCTCTCCAGAAGTGCACAATTTCTCAGGGATCCTGTGTTGTCTCTGCCAGCCCTGCCACAGGTGTCTTGGATACTCTGGGATGTCAAAAACAGTACTTGATGCCTATGTTTAGGACCTGAATCACTCCCAAAGTGATATAGCTGTGAGACGTTCATTCCCTCGGCAGAGTGAGAACAGCTCGCAGCGGGAATAGTTCGCTTTGCAATTTATAGGGAAAGTTAAAAGTAGATTGGCTGTTGACAAGTCAGGTTGGCAGGTTTACAAGAGACTACTATGTTCAACAGATGGGAAAAAGCTGCCAGATCTGGATTAAATGCCGGATCCAAACGATCCAGCACTTACAAATATTTGATTTTCTACTGTCTGAAGTGTGGGACTCAGGTGAGAGGCAGCCGGTCCCTGGATGTAGCATTGCTGCTTAATGCCAGAACCCAGGAAGGTCACAGAGATGAGTTCTTGTTCCTTTTTTTTTTTTTAAATACTTCTACATTTTAAGAAATATAGACTAAAATTAGGATTTGCTTTTCATTTGTTTTTCACTGTAACAATGTCATACTATTCCTCTTATTCCCACTACGTGTGAGCAGGTGGTTCTTCAGGAAACCTCCTGGATTTAATTAAAAGGTGAGTGTTTAATGTGATTTGAATGGTGGCTGTGGCTACAGAAGCAATGCTGGAATCCCACATCCACAAAAGGAACGTGCAAGGCACTGTAATGAATATCTTATCCGATAGTGTCTGAAAAAGAACAGCTTTAACCTGGCCACTGTGCTTTGAAGCGCTGACTGTTTTTTCTCTGGTATGAACATCATTTTAAATTTTTTTTTTAAATGTGGCCCATCTTTAGGGGCCCAGTTAAGCCAATGGGACCATTTCCAGTAATTTTCAGGAAGGGATTAAGCCTTTCCTTAAATTTGTGCTTTGTGTTTCCCCTGTTTTGTACCAAAGTAGGCAGACGTGGGCAGGTCCACTGTGTTATCTCAAGACAATATGATCGAGAGTTTGCCAAATGGTGAGAGGCAGCATCTCTCTAACATGACTTTGGATGGTCGGTGCAGTGTCTGGGTTTGTTCCGTGTTGTTATACAGTTCACATCCTAAGTGATTTAAAGACTCCTCCCACAGAAAAAGTGATAATGAATCTTAGCTGTCTATCATGGATCTTCAAACCACATCCTGATTTGATCTTGAGCCCAGTCCTGCACACACACTTAGTTATCAGCCAAAGGTAGCCTCCTTCTCCCATCTCTAATTAAAAAGTTCCAGTCTTGATTGATGTCTTTGCCCTGAAATGAAACTACTTGATTTGACTTCTGAATAATGCAAAGATAGAAAGCCAGCAAAAAACAGTGGAAGAGATAAGTACATGAGGGACAAAAAGGGAGGTGCGAAAAAATGAATATATAGGAAGCTTTACAAAAAAATATAAGACTGTAGAAAAAAGAAAAAACAGAAGTGTAGCCATCTGAGCACTGGCCAAATGTGATCTCACTTAAGCACGGTGTGTGATTCAGACGCTCAGAATGTGTTTCCCCATTAATATAGCTACCTATTTATTTTTTAGCCTGGCTAGAAACCAGCTGTTGGACAATCCAGCCATAGTTTTGTATGCTACAATCGGGAATGATGTCTGCAATGGGTAAGGTGTAAACCAAGCTAACATTTATATTATTGTATATTTGGCTTCTTTAGAGTTCTCCTTGCTGCTTGGGCATTTTAATCTCATTACTTTGGGCTTCCTCTTTATGGCATCCTTATTTCTCTGCTGAAAATACTGGTGGTTATTGCTTTCTATGTATTCATCATTGCCACCCAGCAGTCCTTATCTGGAGCTTGTCTTTCTTTTTATTACAAGCCTGTAACCAATGATATAGTAACTAGTAGTGGGTTTGAAGTAGCATATTTTTTACTTAGCAGCTGAAATGAAATACAACAACAACAGAGGAGGCAGGGAGAGTTTAAGAGCACGAAGAACCACGATGCCTTCCCCATCGAGCTTTTTTTTTCACCCTACCTCTCTGCAGTGCTGCCTGCTATGCTATCCTGACGAAGGTTTTATCTTTCTGGCTTTTACTCACATCATAAGCTCAGCAGGAGAATGAACTGATGCTTTCGAAAATAATAGTTCTGGAGTTATCCATTAGCAACGCTCAAAGGGAAGCTGAGAGCTCACTATTTTGCTGCATCTCGTCCTCCTGGTAGCGAGAAATCTGTATCCCGGAGAGTTCAGACAGAAAACACCTTGCAACCAGGCCAGTATAGCGCACATACATCCCACAGTTTGGGTTTTGTGGTTATTCTGAATGTGCATTTTGCTCTTGTTATTGTGGCATTATTTTCACCATGATGAATCTTCAGATTTTCTTTCAAGCAGAAGAAATAAATCTGACTTACAGCTGAGGCTTTCAAAACATTCATTTTAATGAATGATATACATACAGTTAAAGCCCCCTCCAAAACTTAAAAAAAAAAAAAATCTCACCTGCAGGTTATATAACAAACTTGGGGCTATTATTAAGGTCGTCAGGCTTTGCCATTAAAATTTGCCATTTTTCTTCCCTACGGCTTTGCTTAACAGCAAGTGTTTGGGCTGAAACGTTGCACGTCGGGTGCCGTGCTCCAGACTGGGACTGACAAGGGCTGGGCAGGGCTTTCCCGTCTGCCGCGGGGCCCCATTGCCTGAGCCAGGGGATCTCAGGTCCCATCTTTTAGGCACTTTCCCAGCGCCACCCTCTCTCTCTGGCTGCTTGCAGGCAGCATGCGGAAATAACCCCCTGACTGGGATGCAAGGGGGACCACGTCCAGCAGGAGCTGTAGGTGGGAGAGAGGTGGGACCAGCTTGTAACATAGTGGGCAGATGAAAACTGGGTTTGGGAGCAGGGTTGAGGGGAGATTGGTACTAGCTGAGTGAAAGAAACTTGGATTGGGAATCGGGGAAGGAAATGAGTGGCCTTCCTCCCCCAGCCCTCCCCTTTCCCAGTTCAACTTTCAGAAATAAAATTTCTCCCTAAATTCGAACCAAAAAACTTTGCAATAAGCCCTTGACATCTCCTTCTAGTGCTAACTTGCCTCTCTCTGTGCCCTTGCCCAGAAGGGCTAAATCTGCATGCACTCAGTGCTGCCCTCACGTTACAGAAAAGACACACATATATTATCAAAAGTACCACTACCCTCCGTTGCTTGACTGGGAAGAGCAGTCACTGCCACCCCTCCAGACTCCCTGCTACCTGCTTACAGTATTATCCTGGGTTCTGGGATACCAAGAAGCTCATGGCAGTAGCATACAACCAGCCCATGGGCAATCAAAGCCACCCCCAGTAGTGCCTGGGGCTCCTCTTGCAAAGACTGCTGAGGTGTCATCTCACAGGCTTGTCCGAAGCTCTGTTATGTTTCAATTTCACAGTCTCACTAGCTTTCCTAAAACTCTCTCTTTTTCTTTGTTGTATGCTCCTTTCTGCAGGTTATTCCCTTCACTCCCCCTGTCTCTAACACTGCTCTGTATTGTTGTCCAAAGGAAAAAAAAAATTCTCCATGCAATTTAAGTCATTTTGGCTTTACCACATCCACCTGTATGTTCCAAAATAATATTCCTAATTTAAAACGCTGTTGTCTTTTTATCCCAGCATTCATTACCTGACAGCGACACTTTTTTCTGCTCAAATCCTCTTTGCTGTCTGTTTTGCTCCAAAAATTTGCAGCATCAGAAGAGGCTGGGGCTATAAGGCCGTAATGATTCCTGCGACTCCCGCAAGGAAAGATGCTGCAGCTTCTGCAGAAACACACTGCTCCCATGAAGTGGGAGGCTTAGCAGAGAGATTTTGCAAGAGCCGATCATTGTGTGCAGCTGCGCTGGCTCTGATGTATCATCAGAGGTTATAGAGGATGCGGAGCATCCAATGGGCCTGACATTAAACCAAAGGCTTGCCCAATAAAAACCTCTTTAAGGACAGCTTTAAACTGCGGTTAGAGAGCCCTTATAGCCTGATCCTGTATTTTACCATTGATAGAAAGCAATGTGCTGAACGCGCTGGAGGGGTGATTCTTAGCCAAAGCATTGTTAAAGTGCCAGCATTTCATCCCATGTGAAGAGCAGGGCAATGAGTAGCATGAATGTTTGTAGAGGAGAAAGATAATGAAATTGGCAGCATGTGTTATATGTTCCCAGTAGTCTCCACACTGTGGTGTCCAAACAGGGGGGGTTAGAAAAATAAAGACAGATGGCAATGGTATCTCTCAGCCCACTGAGGTGTAAATGTGGGACACAATGTGGGACACACAGACCTGGAACAAAAAAAATAAGAAAAGAAAATAATGAGCACCAGAAGTCTCAAACGCCGTACAGTTATTGTGGATATCAGTTGCGTTTGGGGTAAGACACGATTTCCCCAGCCTCTCTTTCCCAGCTCTGCAGCTACGGCGTCTGCAACAGATACGCGCGTCACAGCAGCAAAGTGGGGTGGGACGGCAGCAGCCTGGAGGGGAGCAGACACCCTTCTGCAAAGTGGCAGCGGTGCCAGGGAGCAGCACGCTCCCTTATTGCGAGGCTGCTGTCACCAATGCGCTGCCGTGCTCCACCCAGCTCGAAAAATACGCTGTGGGAGCTTTCCACAGAGGAAAGCTGGATACGCTTCACACAGACTGCGTGAGGCTTGCCCACTGGTGTGCCCAGCTAGGGTATTCGTGGCACCAGGACATCCATGAGCTGCCTGTGTGCACATCCAAGGGTACTGTATAGCTCTCTCCTGTATATTGTGGGGGCGAGGAGAGGTCCCTGAAACAATCTGATCCGATGCAGCAAGCAGTCAAACATCCCGGCGTTAGTGTCTGTTTGCTCTGCCCTGACACCATAACCTGCGGCAAACACCAGCTTCCAAAGGCCCCGGGTGTTGAGGAGCTATTGCCAGCTGCTGCGTCTCAGGGAGACGATGTGATGGTATCGCAACAGCCCGTGGCGCTATCTCAGACACCTTGAAGCCATTGCTGCACCAGCCAAGACCAATGTGCTCACTCATTGGTTGGTTTTAATTTCATAGTCTGGCACGAAAAGGAAATGTGAAGAAATACACTGAAATATCTGCATGACTTAAGTGGAGAATGACATGAGACTGTGGCGTTATGAACGCCATATTAGTTTCATCTCACACTGTTGTATTTATTTGTGGTAGAGGCCTTACATCAGGGCAGGATTTTGAAACTGGGTGCTGCAACACCTGTAGGTGAAATGAGGTAATTTATGGGCAAAACTACAGTCTTATCTCAAAAGTCCCTTGCCTGAGTTGCTGTCATAAGCTTAAGCCTGAATCTTAATGCTGGTTTTTGATTTCTCTCTAACTGGAAATTCTCAAATGCTTCAGAAGCACACACCGCATTAAGATAAATTTCTAGGCCCAGGAAAGTTGCCTAATTATTAATTTGTATGCAAAATGCAGCCCACTAGAGAATCCCAAATCCTTGCTCGAGAACACGGTTCTCTCACATGGGACTCATTTCCCCCCAAATGCAAACATTGTTAATGCCTCAGGACAAAACAAGAGCGCTTTTGTAAGCCAGTGCATGTACGATATTCACTGACAACAAATTCTACCTGATTTCCCAGCAGCTCATTGATCGTTGCAAGCATTAATTAAGTTTGCCCTTCTCTTATCCCTGGGAAGCAGTTAAGTGTTATTGGCCTTATTTTAGAAGTGGGGAAACTGAGGCATGGAGTTTAAAGGTGCTCAGTGCGAGCTCATGCAGAGCAGCCTGCAGCCCCCTCCCCTCTTATTTTTGGGCAACTAGGTTGGATCCTCAAAGCATGCTGAGAAACATGTAGATAAGCAGCAAAGCACCCCAGGACACCCTCTTGCCTGCTCTCCTTTCCCCTTGCTGCGGTGTGAGAGGAGACAGAGCCAGTTTCAAAGCAGGAGGCAGGAGGTTCATCATTCCTTTGTCATTTCTGCCTTCCCTAAAGCTGTCTCCAAGAGGCTGCTGGTACCGCTGGCTACATCCTCCTGCACATTATGGAAGGCCTGAGCATGTTTTTAACACTAAAGCTTCTGAAAAAGCACTTTCTCTCTGATATCCTTGGCCAAGCTGAGTTGCACTAGGCCAAAAATGTCATGAGGGGCTGCTTCCCAGAAGATGCTCATCTGCATCCCAAGATAAGCATTTTGGACATGAATGCTCCTGTGCCTTCATAAACCCTAGTATGTGGCTTTAAAACTACACTGTGGCTGCTCACATGAACTGTGTGGCAGATACACGTGGAAGGAAAGGCCACAAGCATGGTGCAGTGGCTCCACTACAGCACAGGAATGAGTTGGTGGGAACTCCTGCACGGTCCTCCTCCAGCACCACCGGGCAGCAGGAGCACTAGCATTGCCCAAACTGCTTTCCAGAGTCTTTAACTAGGAGCGTAGGCTGGATCGGAGACCTAAGCGCACACACCCCGAGGAATAGCCCATTTAGCATTGTTTCACAGCTGTTTGTGCTCAATAAGGTGGTGTTTGTTCCATCCCATGCATGGCGGCATGCGTTCGTGTGTCCTGAATCCTAACCACTGTGCTCTTGCCTCTGTTTCTGAGGGCTCTTTGAAGAGCTAAGTTGCAAATGCATGGGTTTGTTTATTGTTACTGTTTTTTCCAATTTAAAAAAAGAAGCTTATAGGTTTGTATGTTCCACTTTGCATGCCCCTGGGTGGGGAGTAGGCCATCCTGGAGCTGCGTGCAGGGATTTTTAGAAGCAGGCAATGGCTTCAATTCTTCCACCCCACCGAGCCTTTGCCCTGAGGGAGAGAAATAGGACGTCTCCAGACAACAGGAGGCTTTTCCCCAGTGTTGGCCTTGATCTGCCTCCAAGGCTTTTCCAGAGCAAGACCTCCCCCACAGCACTGGGCTCTCTGCTGGGACATGGACGCATGGGTTGCCCCCTGCCGCTTGGTCACAGGAGATAGGGTGGGCCTGCCTCCCCAGAGCCTCATTCGCTGGCTTGTTTGGTTAGCCCACATATTGGTATAGGACAAGTTATAGGCTTGTATGCTGCGAGAGCAGGGCAATAGCTCTCAGGAGAGAGCGGTGAACACTTTTGATATAATAAAATGGTTGTTTTAATGATATAACTAGAGCAGCATTCTCTAGGCAGCCTGGGGTTTTTTTTGCTTATTTGTTTTTCTTATATAAGTTGAAATTTATTTCAATGATGTCAGGACTTTTTTCTTTTCTCTTTTTCTTTTTTTCTGAGCCATTTACAGCTGAATGCAAGAGGGGAAAGGTAAGTCTGAGTCTGAGACTCTGGCTTGAAGATTGTTAGGCCTGCTGGCATGCCACAAAACATGTCCTTCTAGTCCATGTGGGACTTTGACAACTCCTGTATCCTAAAAAACATTTCTGAGGATTAGTTCATTAGCAGTTAAGTATCTCCTACTCCTCTCTCCAGTCTCCCACACCTGTGCAGAGCCAGCACTGCTCTCCTCTCTCCTTCAGAGCTGGAGTAAGAGTCATATGAAATGCAAGAGCCAAAGCTACCCTACATGTTTCTGTCTGTCAAACAGTATATTGCATGTAAGATATGCATAGTAATTTGTGGGAAAAGAAGCCGTCCTTCCACCCAGTACAATCACATGGTACATTTATAGGGCCTCCTTCATCCCAAAGCCCAAAAGTGCAGGGCAGCACCATTTCCTCCAGCTCTGAGGTGAACCACAGAGACTCTTTCACAAGGTGTAGCAGCACCATGCAATGTGTTAGGACACTGAATCCTCTCCCAGCTGAAGCCTGAGGTAGATGTTAGAACAATCAAATGTAAATAGCAGACTTGGATTTGACAAGTACAGCAAGGTCAATAACTTTGCAATCACTAAAAGCACGAGGACTTCTAATGACCTCCACTAGACGGGTTCCTGCTTTTATAATGAGTGCCATAAGGTAGAGGGAGGGCCCCCTCTCAGTAAGTCTTGGCACTGCTCTATGGGTGATTTAGAGGATAAAATGCCACATGGAAACACAAGTGCTGTTTCCTATAGACTTTTAATGTTCCTTGGCAGTCTTCAAACCAAATTATAATCCTACTTTCTTTTACAATATCTGCAACAACTACGAAAAGTAAGGCACAAGTGGTATTGGAATAGTTTTACATGGATTATAATACCACAGGAGACCAATATGACCATCATCTGCTCCATAGTTCTGCTTCCCCTCTCTGCAGTGTAAATGAGGACCGAGTCAGTTGAAAACAATGGAATTATTCTACCATAAAACCAGTAAAAGAGCTTTTCTGTATGGCAGCCACATGCTAAAAAAGGTGTGCAGGTCTTCTTTTGTTTAACAGGGAGAAAGTTTTTGTCTGCTATACTGAGAGGTTTTTTTTTATGTCAATCACTTCTGATTTTGGAGTTAAAAATGAACAACTACGGCACACTGTCTTTTTCATAAGGTTTTCTTTAGTGAACATAACATGGAAGAATAGCAAATAAGAATGTGCTGCTATTTTGACTGCCTTTTGGGAAACAGTATCACCTGACACAATATCCCATTTACATCCTCTTTTTCTGCAGGGAACGTGACACATTGGCTCACATGACTACACCCAAACAAATGCTCTCCAACGTCATGCGAGCTCTGCAGTTCCTGAACTCCCGTCTTCCAAAGGGCAGCCACGTGATTTTAACAGGCTTGGTAGATGGCCGCTTTCTCTGGGATAATTTACATGACAGATACCATCCTCTAGGTAAATATGAGATGTTTTGGGATACTCTTGGTTATCTGTCTGCTCATGTTTTCCTCTGTCGCTGAATAATTTATGAATCTATTGACAATTTCAAGCAAACTCAATAGAGTAGAAGACTTGTAAGAGATATGCGATGGATATTGGCTGTGAAGTAGAAGTAAGAAAGCCAGCTTACTGCCCATGAAGGAGGATAGGGCAACTAGAGGGCAGACCCCTGTCCTGCCTCGTGTCCATACTCTGCTGCCAACCAGCACCCGCTCAGCCCCAAACCAGGCCTCACACATGCTCTGGGGGAAAACCAGCTGTTCTGCCTCAGCCTTGGCCCAAAACTGAAGCCTGTACTTCATCTTGGATGTTGTTAGAGGAGACACTGGATATCACCACTTAGCAAACACCTCCACTCACCGAGCTGTAGATGTCTTGATAAAGCTGGATCTAGACCAGGACAAGATTAAGTGAAGGATTTGCAAAAGACCAATTAGATATTACAGACCTAAGTTCCCTGCAAGCATTGGGTGTCTGCCACCTCCTAGTCACTGCATCACATTGCATCACTTCATGTACAGACATGTTGTTTTGGGCTTCCTCTGAATGCAGCTGCCATAAGATGCTTTGAGGCAATGTTTCTAGAGATTTGGAAACTGTCATCTCACAAGGTGCACAAAACTCCATATCTGGCCATTAATAGACACCTTGCTCATTTTCTTCACACTGTGCCAAGCATTAAGGAGAAATATTATCAGAAAATTATATATGATCACATATAATGAGGTGTGAAATTCCATACCTTGGTTAGGCTGCTGGTCATGCCTCTGAGGTCAGTTTGGAGACATTTCCCTGGGGAAGTGGAAGGTTTGGGAGAAGGAGAAGTTGGAAGTTCATTCCAGAACTCCTTCTCTCCAAGTACATATCACCCCACAGTTAATAAAAAACTATTTCATACAGGTAGCAAAAATAGAAGTTTTTATGCAGACAACAAAAATACGTTCAGTATTCTCCATTCAAATGTCTGCGTAAGGAGCCGATGTGGTCATTCTGCTGCCAAATTTAAGACTAGAAGCATGTTCTTTTTTCTCTTTGGTTAAAGGAATCTCTCTTGCATCTGAGTAAGTAAGAAGTTGTTGCCATCTTAGTTTGCATCAGTAAAGAGAGAGAGAAAAGCTAAATCGTATCATTAAACGGGGAATTACATCTTCAGATGATTTTGACAACCACTGGGTAATAGAGCTTTCGGAGGACTCTATGTTGTGGTTCCCCTCCAAGGTTAATCATGGTCAATGACCCCGTAACTTCTGCTTTATATACTGTAGGTTATTTTACCCTTCAAAAGCTGCTTCTCAGGAAGTCTGAGGTTTCCATTTCTATTCCCTTTTTCTGATAGCCCATTTTATTTTCTTTAAAGAGCACTACACTACTAGAAAGTGAAAAAGGAAGAAAAAAAGAAAAAAGAAAAAAAATCCTGCCTCTTTCAGGACAGAAGGAGCCTGTGATAATTATTTTTATTCACATAAATGCATTTCTTTACTTGAGTACATGTTTATCACAGGAGTGGTTCCTTCTACTGGATAGCTAATTATCAATGATCACACATAGCCTTTTTGGCACAAGTCAAATTAGGAGTGATTAGCTATAGGATCAGTTGGAATTTTTTCAGAGGGCCTGATTTGCATTGGAGGGAACCAATTAATCCTAAGCAACACATTTTGCAGCAACACAGCATTTGTGACAGATTTTCCAACGAGTTACAAGCAGTCTTCACGGCTTGGCTGCCAGTCAGGTGCTATCAGAAATCTGTCGGGCTTTTTGCCAGGTTACCCACCTGGGCTCCTGCAAGCCAAATCCAAGGGCTTTGGTCCCCAGGCATCCCGAGAGCCTATCCTGGAGCCCAGAGCTTTCGAGCTATGTGGTCTGGGACACCCCTACCGTACAGCAGCTACATTAGGCCTTCAAGCTGCCAAACTTTTCTCCTAGCCCTACTCTCACAGCCTAGGTAGTATCCACCCCAAAAGCCAGGCAAACTATAGCGTCATTTTGCCCAAGAGCTAGAAGAACGCGTTCCCAGCTCGGAGCTGGTCAGCTCCCCACTGACGTGGCCACGTTCCCCATCGGGGTGACTGACTCCTGAGCCGTAACAGCTGGGAAACTGATACTGCTATTTGGCAATGGACAGCTATGAGATAGGTAGGCAGGAGTTGCATCGGTATTGCCGAGCTGCTGCCAAGCAACCTGAAAGTGTATTTCACCTGGGAGACAGCACGCTTCGGAGTTCCCAGAACAGAGCCAAAAAAAAAAAAAAAAGAATTGCTTATTTCAGCATTGCAAAAATAATGAAGCATGATGGGATGATCGGTGAGCTACAAACCCTGAGAATCGAGTGGTCATTTAATTTCTGGGCTGGCTGTAGCTACCAAAGAAGCAAAAGGGTCATGAAAAAGAGTAATTTTCTCAGCAAGCCAGGCTATTACGTAGCACAGTGAATTTGTCAGATGGATGTTTAGCTTAGTGTTTGAATCCACTCACCCACACGGGCATATCCACATCCCTCTGTGACAGGAAAATTGTTTCTCCCTTTTAAAGCTAACCTCTCCAAGGTAAATGTGAAGCTCAGAGCACATACAGTCACCTTCAATCTTCCTTTCGGGTTTGAAACGGCTGCATTTGTTTGGAGAGTGAAAGAAGTGTTAATGGATAAAAATACCAGTCACTCACTCCGAGATTTGCACGGGCAATGATGACTGAGCCCTCGTGCGAGATGAACTGGCTGTGAAGGGAGAGAGTCATGTGCTCTGCGGGAGGAAAAAAGTTTCTGCAGGTTGTGGGGACGACTGCCCACGCGGAAAGCTCAGGGTGACCCCCTCCAACTGCTGGGGGGGTTGGCGCCCTCGGCTCGGCCCCACGGCAGCCTAATGCACGGGAACAGGCTGCTGGGGCACCCAAAAGTCATGTTACCATGCTCTCTTTCCCGCGCTGTGTTTTTACAGGGCAGCTTAACAAAGATGTCACGTATGGTCAACTGTATTCTTTCCTAAACTGTCTCCAGGTAAGATTTCCCTCTTTAGTTTATGACCTACCCTTTGCTGTCTGTCTGCCGCTCTACTACTAAAGCATGGCTTTCCTTGCTTGCGCAGGTGAGTCCTTGCAGCGGCTGGCTGACTTCCAACGAAACCCTCAGGAATTTGACCTCGGAGGTAAGTGTGGTGAAGGCTGCATGGAGGCGTCTCAGTTGTGTCGACAGTCTTTGAATTTACTCTGCCTATATGTTTGAGAATATAAACTTCATATCTCAGATGCAGGATGTCACCACAGGCTTTTCTTCCAAAGATAGAGACAAGATGTGGAAACTTTTGCATCCGTTCTTTTCAAACACCTCTCAGGCTCGAGGATATAGCTTGGTTGAGTTAAGAGCCGAGTCTCGTTCTGATTTCTCAGCTCTTCAAATTTATTCTCAAGGGATGCACAAATGTTCAAGTTCTTGTTCTTAAAGAACAATGTACCTAATGAGAAAGGAAAGGCTTATGAATCACATAGCTATGAGTACAAAAAGCCAATTGCCTAGATTTTGCTGGCAGCAGGAGCAGGCCCTGAGAGCAAGATCCCAACTCTGTATTTGGGATTTGTGCTAATCTTACTCAGGCACGTTTCTGTGGACTTAGTCGCCAGATGGTCTGACCAAGAAGCATCTAGACTCAGTGCATGAATGGGAAGAGACAGAACAGAGATGTCTTTTAAAACCTACCCTAAAAATCTGACTACAGAAGCGAATGTCACATAATATCAGCTACTTATTCCCCTTATGTGCTAGGAGATGTTTAATCTCCCCGCTCTGCAGCCATGTAAAGGAGCCAGTACTCACATATTGCCAAAGGTGTCATGTCTGCGAGTGTTTGTATTAATGTTTGCATTCACTAGGCAAAAAAATGCAGCCTCAATTTTCCCGACGTTTACACGTGCGTTTCATTTTATGTCCCCTTCCTCTTGACTTGGGAGAAGGCAAATAAGCACATGCCTAAATCTTTGCAGGATTAGAGCCTATATGTTAGTGCAAACAATACACAGCATTCAGTACATGTAACTTCTGTCCATGAACAATTCCTATGTCTGCAAGATATGAATTAATCTTCCTTCTGAGTTCCTGTCTGAAACTAATTTTCTGTGTTATCATCCAAACTGTACACATTAAATATTTAGGATGTTCTGATCCCTGTTAAAGCTGTAGAAATCACCCTGGATATAACTCCACACTGGAGTTGTTAGGTGGAGGTCCAACGAAGGCAATTTATTCTGCGGCAAGTGAGAGCAGAAGCTGGTCTGGATAGATAAGTGTACACCCACAACTCAGCAACAGGAAAGCTAATGAGAGAGCAGAAAACTTTCCCTGTACAAAAAGCTTCAGTTTCCTTTAAGTGGAATGGAAATGACTGGGCTCCCATTTGTCAAGAGGCCTCCAAAAATGAGATTCTGAATCTCCCCTATCAATATAGGGGAGTAAGGACACTACCAGAAGAAGTGCCTAGTAAAATAACTATTTGCTATATTAACCTTATTATATCCAATGAAGCCTCACGGCAATCTTCAGGGAAGTATTGCACCGGGAGCTATCTATCTCCTGAAAGCCCAAAGGCTAATGGTGTTCAGTATAAGTCTATGGTATAATGAAGAACTCCATTTCACCTCCTTTCCCCCAGTTAGAACAGCAGTATTAGCTTTCAAATCCCTGATTGCACATCGGTGACAAAAGCTGAATCCGTACAAAGCGGCATGAGTAGCAATGAATTGTCCTTAAATTGCTTGGTTTTTGCAGAGAGCTTTACAACTCTCCAATGTCCTGAAAGAAATAGCGAGATCTGAAAAATTCACCAACTTTGATATTTTCTACATGGATTTCCCACTGAGACAAAGTAAGTTGCTTTTTTCTTGCTTTTGCTCTCAAGAAGCATTTAGACATTGGTACTGGGCTGCTCCTCGTATGTTAGCTCTCCATTGCGAGGACAGCAACGTAGCCAGCCCACCTGGGTGACCCTCAGAGCAGGGCCAGGACCATCAGGGAGCTGTGAACTGTCTTCTCCCGGTGTCGCTCGCGGCTGTACACACTGCCAGGCCTAGATGGCAGCGCTGGGTGTTCGGCATTGGGTGTTGGGGGCGCTGGTCGTTTGGTGTCAGCGTTGGCTGTTGGGTGTTGGACGCGGGGTGTCACCTGCTGCACCAGGTACCGCAGGGTGGCCTGGACCCCAGGCTTTCACGCAGGGGTAAAGGAACCAAATCCACCACCAGTGAGGTGAACCCCACGTGTGGCAGGAGTCAGAGAAGGAGGCAGCCTAAGTACGGAGATGGAGAAGTAGCCTCAGGTGAAAATGCCTCCTGCCAGTGCACTGCAGCTTCTCTGACCAATTAATGAAAAAAGAAACAGCATATCTGCAGCGATGCAGGTGTGAGTTATAATGCATGACTTTACTGACTGGGCCTCCATTGCATTTTCCAGGATGAGCAGTGCCTCGGGAAAGTGAATTTTTCCCAGGCAGTTTTCTTACCTGAGTGACAGAGCCGCCCCCTCTTGACGCAGTGTTTGCAAAAGCACCAGCACCTCTGCTGTGAAGAGCTACCTTCTTCCCTATACTTCCCTAAGTACCCACGTAATATTGCAACTTCAACTTACCTGCATCGCTTCCTTCTGCAATTGGCACTTAAAAAAAAAATTTAAAAAAAAAAAAACCTTTTTCTCTGCTCCTGTTAGTGTGAGAGGACCCAGGCTGGACCTCCCATTGCAATTATCGCCCAGTGTCACTCGTCCTCCCACCCTGCACGGCTGTGCAGAGCCTGGCTCCGTCTCCTCAATAAGCTCCTTGCAGGCCCTGGGGGACTGCTATCAGGCACCCACCCCAAAGCCACTGTACCCCCAGCCTGAACAAGCTCCCATCCCACAGTCTCTCCTCAGGGGCCGAGGGCTCCAGCCCCACCACCGTGGAGGCCTCCCCTGTGAGCAGAAATTTTTACATTCTATAAATCGCATATAATAATATTTCAAAGAACAATCTCCATTTCCTTATTTTTATTATCACATAGAAAGATCAGCCCAAGTTGGTCCTTTTTGAAAAATTTTGACCAGGCAATATACATTATACACACACACACACACACGCACATATATGTACACATACATACGCATACATATATGTGTATATATATGCGTATAGATATATTTTGTAATGGTATTTTAAATCCCAAAATGCAAACAAACAGCTAAAATGGGAGCCATGAAAGGACAGAAACACCCTGGCAATACTTCAAAATGTCCATCTCTAACACCCCTCCCCAGCACTGGCTGCCTGTCCTTGGAAGCATAAAGCTGTCAAGCCACCTAAGATTATCGTTAAAAAAAATCTCAGTTGCAGCCAAACCCTGTCAACTCCACAAAATTATTTATGCTGCATGACCCAATTCAGGAAGCTGGTTCTGGGTCTCATGCAGAACATGGAGGAGGAGGTAAAGAAGAGATGATTGGGAGGGGGAATCTTTCTGTCCAAAGCTTTAGCTCAGAGATGTGGACACCACTGCCAAGTCAGTTATCGTACCACAGTTTCAGGATGTCCAGGTCTCTTTGTGAATTTTGTCTCAGCTACTTAATATTTAACAAGTCATTAGGATTTGGAACAAACTACCTGCTGGGTAGGCAAATTACTTTAATAAGTTAAATTGCTAACTTTAGGTAATTTATTTGCTTTCATGAAAAGAAACATCTTAATATAATTTGCTGTTCTTGATTACATCGTGTTAAATAAATGAGGTAAACAAAATCACACACACACATACAAACATCAGCTCTGAAAGACACTTTGCAAAGTTTCCTGCAGCCCTGGAGCTGACAATATGAGCTTCCCATCAGTAAAGCTGTCAGCTCCTGAGTATGCTCATAAGCAAGTTATGGCTGCTGACCTACTTTTCCAGTCTCTTTCTGAAGCAAGTGCAAATCCCATTCTAGACTCTCCAGACATCAAATATTTAGCAGCACTTGCATGCTGTGATCAGTACATTGACTTCAGGCTGGCCTGTGCGTCCATATGTATATGCGTATAAATACATAGCAGCTCCCAGCTTTCTTGCAGTGTAATTTGGGCACTAGCATCTATTCTAGGTGGACGTTCAAGTCAGATGTTGGCTTTGGCTGAAGGATTGAGTAGCTTCTTTAAAGAGGAGTACGATAAATGGGGGAGGGAAGGTTGGTCATTTTGTCTTTTTCTTAATGTGGATGTGAGCAGGTTCTAGTCTATTCTAGGCAATAGGCACTTTTAAGACTAACTCTGGACTTATCCAGCTGAAGGGTGTATTTGTCCAAGAACTGCTTTAGGATTTTTGGAAATCAACTATAATGGGCCAAACTCACTTATTGTGACACAAATGGGTTCCACTTACTCATCTGCTAGTTCTGGCATTGGGACAGTAGTCCCTCTACAAAGTAAAACATCATACACAGACTCATACACAGTAAATAAGATCATATTTAACGATTTAGGCAAGTTGATCCCATGTGTATTGCATGTGTGTATGTGTGTGTGTGGACTCCATGACGTAAGATAAAGGTATGCGACGTGTCTCATGTATTGCAAATCTGAAACAACCCCCCGAACCCTGTGCCTTTAAAGAGGTTACTTCGGTGTTGAATTAAGTATCTCACATCAGTTTCTTATTGTCAAAGCAGGAATATTACCACTAAACTCTATGAATTCAAAGTTAGAACGAGGACTTTGGCATCACTTTTTGACACAATAGCCAGGGTCCAACAAACGGCGGAGAGTCTAAGTCAGAAATGTAGGATTTGAAAAGAGAATATTTTTCTCCTGACAGGATGCCTGCATAATGCTATTATGAATTCCTAATCCATCATTATAAAAGAAATTATTGAATTTAGAGCCTGCTAATGCCATATCCACTAGTCCAGTGTTTGATCATTCCATAACCCTTTTGAAGAGAGAAAGCTTTATACTCCTCTGATCGCTCTGGGGCTTACAGTACAGCATCATTTGCATTGAATGTCATGCTTGTGTAATTCAAAAAGGTTATTTTTTTGTTAGAGTTGAAAAAGACCGCTCAGAAGAAAAGTAACTGAAAATGACATTCTGTTCCTGAAGATATCAGCCCATGTGAATATTGTGTTACCATCTCTTTCTCTACAAAGCCCTGTTTTCTTTATCTTATCCTTTTTTTTTTTTTGCTCTACTGAAGATGCAACCAAAATGGAAAATGCAAAAGTATTACATCAGTATTAAATAATTTATGGCCTTACTTGCTACGGTGTCAGTCTTAGCTGGAAAGCAAAGTGAATTGTTTTATGATCATTTATGTTCAAAGAGCTTCCTTGCATAAATATCAAGGATTAAAAATAATAATAATAACAATGATAAAGTCTTAAACGCTGCCCCAAGGAAAAGGGCATTGCACATGGTGCCGGCTCTGACAACTTTATATAAATTATCGTAGTCTTTATGCAGAGCTGTCGGGTCCTTGGAGGCGAGGCGTGCACACGCGCGTGTGCACGTGTGCGCAAGGGAGCGCACGTGTCCCCCCCGCCCCTCGCTAACCCCTCTGCTCCTGTGCTTGGCAGCGGCGGCGGAGTGGCGCCGGATGGGAGGCGAGCCCTGGCAGCTGATCGAACCCGTCGACGGCTTCCACCCCAGCCAGGTAAGTGGCCGGGCCGGTCCATCAGGCCACGGAGGGCACCCAAATGCCCGCGGGAGTTGCCTGCCTCAGCCGCTGCTTTGCAGGTTTTGTCTTCAAAATGCCCCGTGCTGGGCGCATGGAGCTGGGCTGGTTTTGCTGTGAGATCTGCCGCGCTCTATTACTCTTTAACCCATCCCGTAGCCAAACCGCCTTCAGCCTCCAAGACAGGCCCCCCACCATGCATTTTGCAGGATCTGGGCAACGGTGCAGCCTGGGGAGAAGCCCCCCCGCCACCGGTGCTGCAGCCTGGAGCAAAGCTTGCTGGTTTGGAGCTGTGCGTTCTCTTTCTGCACTCTAGCTTCAGGTTTCAATGATACTTGCAAAGCAAAACAGCAGCCAGTCTTCCCAAAACAGCCTTGAGTAAAAGCCTGTGCGAGCTCAAAAGCTGTGTACAGCCTGTAACCTCGCACCAGCAGTCTTGCCTGAATTTTCTTGTGAGCCGCACTGGTAATGGGAGAAAACAAAGGTCCTGATATCATCACCATGAGGTAGGCAATCTAGGACCATGCAATTAAGCCCTACGGGACAGCTTATCTACTAGAGCCCCAGGGAGCCCCAGGCTCATGTCGCAACCCACCAACGGTTCGAGCAAAGTTAGTGCCTTTGTAAAATTTAATCGGTTGACAACAGGTAAGCCCAGTTTCCCATGCCTTCAATCTCGTCTCTTCTGAGGTGGTGGAGCAAGAATTCGGCTCGGCTCAATTGCAAGCGAATAAATTGCAGGAAGCGGGGGAGAAGCTGATGGAGACAGGTGTCAGCAACGAAGCCAATTTCCTTGTCTTCCTCTTTGTCAAAAAGCCCTGCCAGGCAGCAGCAAACCCAACGCCTGCTCCTCACCAGTTACGTTTAGAGACGGGGGGCCAGAAGTGTGGTGCCACCTGCTGCTAAGAGCCAAACCGACCCGCGAACCAGGCATCCCAAATCCCTGACCGGGACGCAGGTCTGGGCAGCCCTTGAGGGATGGCAGAGGCACGTTCCTCAGTGACATTTTGGGGCTGAATACAGTGGCAGCGCGAAGGACACTGTTTTCGAGGGCGCTGCTGCCCTGCTCCTGGCCACGGGGTCTCCCCATTGCCTGTACCGTCGGGGTGTGGGGAGCGTCAAAGCCAAATTAAGCGCTGTTTTTTAAACCCGTGCAGGTCAGCTGAAGCAGTACGGGAGCTTGCTTACCCTTGCCAAGGCAAAAGAGAGTCTTGTTCAAAAAAAGGCGCCTCCGGTAGAGCAGCAGTTCCTGCTGGGCTCCGGGCGGTGCCATGAGAGAGCTGCATGAAAGCGCGAGCTCACCGCCCGCGGCCACGGAGGAGGCATGGTTGGCTTTTTTTTTACTGCGGGCCTTTTGAAACGAAGCAAACAGAGAAAACTTGGCAAATGAACCGAGAGGGAAAACAAAGACGAAGCGAGCCCCATTCTCAATCCCACCGTCTGGGGAAAGTGTGCCGTGCGGGGAATCCAGCGTGGAGAGAAGAAAGGTTTTTCTGTTACTTTTATTCCTTACCCTGCGGCTGGCCTGAGGCATCTTACAGCCATCAGCAGCAGCAGCAGGTCTCCGCGGGCACCCGGGCTCGCTGGACCGCGGCGGTTCCTCCATGCCCTTGCCCACATCCCGCATCCCACGAGCTACTGGAAGGTGGACGCAGCAAGTATCGATCTGGAAGGGATCCTTAATCCAAAACAGAATTGCAGAAAGGCCTTTAGGGCAGCCAGAAGCCGACAGCTCCCGGCGTGCCAAGCTGCGGCATCCCACCAAGGGGGCCAGGCCGTCTCCATCTCACTCCCTCCCGAGCTGGCATCCCACAGCCGTTACAGTCTCCCACTGCTGCCGTTTGGGTGACGTTAATGCTTTTATAGCTGCATTTCCCCTTGGACTCAAGGTGCCAGCTGTAGATATGCCTCACTTCAAGTGAGTTATTGCCCTTCCAGGATTTATTAATTAGCCTTATCCAAACATCTACCACTTTAAACCCATTTTTCTTTTCCTTCGGCTTTACAGAAGGCTGCTAGCAACGTACCACTATTTGGGCTGAGACGTAGCACTCTGCTCTGAAAGAGTTGCTGCCTTAATAAAAAAGCAGGAGAAGAGGAGCGGGGAAGTGTGCGCATAGAGTGATATTTAAGAGCACACCAGAGAGTGATAAACAATTCGCTCACTCTTCATGCTAGCTTTTTTTTTTTTTTAAAGTTTTACTTTATACCAACATGAATGCCTCTGGTCAGGTACTGCTTTAATACTATATAGCTCTGCCTAGTGGGAGAGAATTGATGCTGTTCAGCTTGTCAAGCGAAAGGAGTCTCTTATTTCAAGCTCTGCAGCTATTCCCCGCTCCTTATGTATAGCATGACCAACAAATATGATGATAGATAAGTTTGGGGCGTTTTCACTGAATCTTCCCTCTGAAGATCTCAAGCACTTGACAAACAGTCACGCAGACAAACAATTGAGCAGTACTCCAAGGAGCACATAAACATTATAGGGCTTGTTTTCAGAGGCAGAGAAACTTCTGAGTTTGGGATGCCAGACCAGCAGTGCCTGTGTGTGCCAACAGGGAGCTGGAGGGATAGCGCGCTTCCTCCTTCTTGGGTTACACAAGTGGGCAGGTCTGGTATATGCCCACAGATTTCACCAGTTGTTTAGCTGCTCTCACTCTAATTAAAAAAAAAAAAAGTATAGAAATGGCATATATATCCCTGTCAGCAGATATATCCAATAGTCCACCCATCCAATTAAGCATGAAGAATATAGAAGGGACCTGAACCTTCCTGACTGAATACTGTGTATATATTTTAAGGAGAAGGAATAGAAACAAGAAAGAAAAGGCAGAGAAAGAAAAGAAAAGGCAACAGTCTATTTCTCCTGTTAGAGCTATTTTGTTTTTCATAAGGTGGAAAAAGACTAGATTAGGACACTCAGGTAGCAAAACTACTCCTCACAGCCCCCACTCCAGAGAGTATTTTAGATTTAAAATTCCTTGAAAGAAGGGATAAATACCACATGTTCATTTATTCAGCCAAGCTACAGTCTCACCCTGAACATTTCTGGTGGAGAAAGGGGGGCTTCCTGGGTGTTTTCATTAACTCCCAGAACAGAAGGTTGCAAACAAACACATTCTTGGCATAATCATATTCCTAGTAAGGTCCAAAGCTAAAATACGTCTCTGTGAGTTTTCCAAACACCCAGCTCGGAGCATAGGTGGAGGAAATTCACACCATGTATTCTTGACCTTTAAAGCAAGATATCTAACTCATTCCTACTAAGTTCCCTCTCTGGTTGTCTGGGAGACACAGTTCCCCAAAGCCATTTGAGTCCCTGCTCAGGTGTCCTTTGAAGAAGTCTGGGGTTTCTCTTTCCATTGACTATACTGGGAACCCAGGGACCTTTCCCACATCTCTTCTTCACTGCCAAAATCTCACTGACAACCATTCTGAGTGCCAGATGGCTTCAAGGACACCACTTCTTTCTAGAGCATCTAATTGCTGTGTTTGTATGGCACGACCATGCGTTTCAAGAGGCTTCTATATAAATGGCTTTGTTTCTTGCTTTATGACGTTACCACGGACGATGCTAAAGCCCTGAGCCTCACAAACTGGGGACCTGTTTGAGCTGCTTGGAAGAGTCTTAATGATTATGTACAGGCAAGAAAGCACAGCTGGAGCGTGATTAGCTTCTCCCTTATCTCTTTCCTTAAGTCATAGCAAAGCACTTTCCAACTAGGAAAAAGGAAGAAGCTGAAACAACACATATCAGATTAGTTGTTTATTTGCATTTTACTGAAAAGTGTGCCCATCCCCAGTTTGGTGCAGGAGAAAACAGGTAGCCAGAAGCTGCTAAAATAGCAAAGCCACCCCTCACCCTCAGTCACCCAGGGCTCTGCGAGAAACGGGCAAAAAATCCTTAAAAACGTGCTTAGAATTTGTTACCCTCACAAAAAGTTAATTGCAAAAAAATATATGAATTGCAGCTGATCTCAAAGCTTGAGATCTTTGGGATTTAGAAAAGACTAACAAGCAAAATAATTTCTAGAATTAAGAACCCTTCTCTGTGCCATGCTGCTCATCCAGATTAAATTACCAAAACTGTCAGCACAACATGAATTGATCTGCACACAGGACCTACATAATTTAGGGCATTCTAGGCATATACACCTTAACCTGCAGTCAACAGTAGTCTGAACACTGTAGAGCATACCTCTAGTGACACCCTTTCAGAGACTATATCACACAAATATAGCTTGGGGGGAAAAAAAAAAGATAAGACACCTCTGCCGAAACAAAATAGGGGAGCCTTGGGGTCGTGTAACACAGTGAGGAGGCCAGAATGGACCATTCTGTCACTGACAGGTCTCAACCCTTTGGCAACCATAGGGCTTCCCAAAGAAAAATGAGTTTGGTCATGTTAGAAAATTTGACCAGGAAAAAAAAATCCTCCATATTACACAATCTACCCTACCCCTTTCCTCTGCCCCAACACCCCTGCTAGTTTAATGAAACCTCAAGTGGCCACAGCCTAAGACCTTCCCCCCCCACCAACGTGCCTCTTTGTACATGAGCTCTAAATAAATGGGAGTTTTTGTCTCCTGGCCTATCATTATAGCTTCTTTCAAAAGCACAGAATTTAAAATGTGCATTTAAAAAAAAAAGTCTCCTAAGGCTCCAGTCTGTTCCCAAACTCAGAAACATCAGCGTTCAAATAATTTGATTCCATCAGTGCATATTGACCCTTAAGAAAAGAGCTTTGTTAGCCCTATTTAAGCCTCATAATCATTAACGTGAGTGCAAGTTTTGGCATTGAAAGTAAAATTAGCATGTGAGAAAACCATAACTATAGGTAAGAAGCTACAGTAAAAATGCATTCACAGAGTGTCAAAATTTAGTTAAAGGAGAGTCGGGCTGTTCTCTCTTCCCTTTTGTCCTCCCCATGATGTGTTTCACCCTTGCAGTACTGCAGACACAATTTATCTTCTGTGCATGCCTTCCAGGGCAAACACTCTATGAAAGTTAGAGCAGTTCTGATAGTGAGGGGAAAAGGTATTTAACACAACTTTCTGCAGTTTAGAAGCCAATCAGTAGCAGGTGTGAACTCAGAAAATCATAGCTGGTTAGTTTTGAACCTAGATATAACTGGGCATCTTTTACCTAAACCCCATGCTTTCCAAATAGGAAACTAGAGAGAAAATTTATCAAAAGTATGCAAAGAATTTAGGAACCTGAATTCTTTTGGACTTGCAACAGATTTATGAGTTATAGCCAAGGAGTGCTTTTGAAATACTTTCAAAATGTTTGGAGAAAAAAAAAAAATCAGACCCTGTGACTTTTGAACAGACATTATAGGCATGAGGAGGAATTTGGAGACTACCATTTAGGCTGTATGTCTTACTGTCTGCTTGTATCACAGGTACATTTTCCTGTAACTGAAAAGATAGTATGTCATAAGAGACAATACATTTTTAAGGGAATGTGGAACTGTATGCTTGCAAATTGCACATACATGCCCATTTTTCTTTATGCTGAGCAGCTTAAAAACAAGGATGATTCAATGTAGTATTTAACATTTTATTGAAAAAAGAATTTTTGGAGACATCTTTTTTTCATTTTACAGAAAACAAGCAATCATGCTTTTGCTGATAAATCCAGTCCTTGCCTCGTTCAGAGAGGTGGATACATGTAGTCCTCACCTTATTTTTATCGTTCAGGTGGATTTTGCCCTGTTGAAGCAGCTGGAATCAAGTATTTTCTTTGATTAGAGGTTACTTGTTGCCATTTGATTATACAGTGGCGTCTTCACTCTGGTGGGGACTCCTAAGTGCTACCATGAAACAAGTACTTTATAGAGGTGCACAAAAAATGATAATGTGTGCTCTTTACAGATTGCTGCAGCACTTGGAACGAGCATTACCTGGCAGAAGGCACTACATGAATGGCCTCAAGTGCTTGGAAAGGAGAATCCTTTCAACAACCAGATTGAGGCTATATTCAAAGATCAAGGTGGACACTGATTTCAAAACTGCTGGAGCCCTGCAGCACAGTTTATGGTGATGCTTCTCAGTGAATTCCAGGAAACAAGATGATTACAGACAGAAGAAGGTACAAGATATCAAAGTCTGACTACTTTTCTGCCTTTTTTTTTTTTGGACTAGCAGTACAAAGTCAGTAGCAGTGGCAATAACGTAATAACTCTTTTCAATGTTGTATCTTAGCTGCAAAGTCACCCACCTGCACAAGCAGGCCATACTTTTGCTGTGGAGCCATAAAAATAAAAATCACAGGATGCCTGCCAGCTAGGCCGTTTATTGTACTGGTGTGCAAATCCATAAGGCTTTTTCCACTTACAGCAAATTCCTAGCCCTACCTCAACTTTTTTTCCTGCAAGAACATATTTCTTGGCTCTCCATTTGTACTATTTCAACAGCTAATCTGATCCCAAAAGGGGAAGAAAAAAATCAAACTCATTATGTTGCTCTAAATTGTGTATATGTAATTGCCCTGACTGTCAATACATTATTTAGCTGCTATTTGCTTATTAAAACGTGCTAGGAATAACAAGGCACCAGAATTCAGATTTGCCTGGCAGTATTAGCTCAGCCTGACTGTGCACAGGTTCTTTTCCCCGACCGTTAACAGGATAGTTACTCGACAACCCTTCATGTATTTACAACAGGTTGCTTTTTAAAGCTTTGATACGTCTTTACCCTTGCTTCATAACAAATGCAATAAGCCCAGTCCTGTACATTTTACAAATATCACCTAGGGAATCACGGAAGATAACATGCAGTCCTTACCCACACTACTTCATGCGTAGAATAGAGTTGAGAACGACTAGGAGTTCTTTGACCAGCTTATCCAAGGGGGTAAAGGGAGGAAGAAATTAAAATTAGAGACAGCTCTACCTACTGCAGCCCTAATGGTGATAAAGCCTTTGCAGCTTTCTTTTCCTATTATCAGACAGCATACAAATGGCGCTAGCCACTCATGGAAAAAACTGGTAAATACAAAGCGTTAACATAACACAATTAAAACCCATCTAAATTAGCCAAAGTAGACTTGGTCTGCTCTTTGCTCTAAATTTGTCCAATGCTTAAGGCATTGGGTGTCTTCATGTATGATCCACCTCTTTAGTTACAGAACTAAAATGGAAGGCCTAGCCATACGTGGACCTGAGCACGCTGGCCACTGGAGATGCAGCTGATCAGTATTTTGAACAGGCAGAGGATGACTTGTAAGTCCTATCTTGATTGAAGCACGTATTTTGCTATCCTAGATCCTTCATTTTTGTTAGTGCAGGCACTACTGCATCTTTTATAAGATGAGAATTCCTCTGGGACAACTACTAATATTTGAGGAAACATTCGAGTCGCCTAACTTTAGGAAATCGAAAGGGAATATATACTCCTTAATTGAATGACACTTACTAATAAAGCCCCAATTCATTCAAGGCATTTAGATATTTCCAAAATATCAGCTGTTTCCCATCAACAGTTTCAGCTCTACAAAGGCATGTCTCAGGAAGACTGAGAAGTATTCAAAGTAGGAAGACGACACCTACCTGCTTCCTTTACAACTTCTCTCTGCCAAATAGCATAACATTCAATATACACTGGCCAGGTAGAACGTTGTATAACCATTCTTATTACCTATTCAGGCTTTCTATCTTTCATTAAAAATAGGAAAAGAACAAAAAAATCCAAGAGTATCCATGTGATTTTACTACAGACCAGGAACAGACAATTACTACAGACAATTATACAATCACATCAGATAATTTCTTATACACCAAAATACAAAAGCACAGCAATTAAAGGTGGGGGGGGGAGACAACACAGTATTTAGCAGCCAAATTTTCAGGCAATCTCACTACAAATTATTGTATTTCACTTGAGCTTCAGCTTTAATAATGCCAATTAGGAGTTTTACAAGCTAGTAAAACTGAAATTTCCTCAACTAAAATAATCTTCATGGCCAAGAGCATAGCATATTCAATTTATTGGCTTTTTCTTATCAGTGAACATCTTGAATCTCTGAACAATGTAAAAAAAAATTCTCATGAAGTTAAAACGACTTCTCAATTCAAAAAAAAAAATCTGAACTCCCTTTCATACCTGAATCTCAAAGCTCTTAGATTTGCTCTAGCAGTGTAATTATTCCATATTTGATGCAGTAAGGGTTTTTGAGGGATTTCATGAAATGGGCTTTCCACTGGTGAAAGAGCATTAACCAAAGTATATTTTCTCATTTCTCAGAGGCAATCTCTGCAATTCAGCATTAAAATTAGGCTGTACACAGAAACTTGATTTGTAACTAATGTAATAACTATTTGTGAATAAAGATGAATTTCTGGCTTATTAAGCCGTCACCTTTCACAACCATGATGTTTCCCAGTTATTTCAAAGAATGCAAAAAAAGCCAAAGATCCGCATCCTCAATCATTAGTCACTTACTAGTACCATTCTAAAAATAAGTGTTCCATATTCCAAGAAATTGTATTAAAAAAAACTTACTTATATCAAAGTAGTAACAGACTATGAATCCTAGTCTATTTTGTTAATTTAATTGTCTCCTGATCCTTAGATTCATTGAAGATGACAAATGCACGGGGAAGAGAAATCAACCACAGATGGAGGGGGGAATAAATAAAACAACAACAACAAAAGGTGTTGCTCTTGGAGAACTAAGTATAGTTCCATGATATTCAAGCTTTAGAGCAGTTCAGATTTCTAGAGGAAATGGTCTTTCACAGTCTTCTGCTCTCACCAGATCGGGACATATGAATACAGGGGGATTACATCATTTGCTAGTTCCAGTGCATTGGAAATTGGGAATAGCAGAAAAAAAAAAAAAAAAAGAAGTTCCTAACTACTTTCAAACAAAGCTTTAAGTCTTTATAAAGAGGACAGTAGACACATTTATTTCTGATGTTTAGAACTAGATCCATAGCTACCTAAAGCTATTTGACTTAACTTGGTCTGGCCTCTTCCAAAAGAGATCAGCTACAAACATTGGGGGCGGGGAGGGGGGGAGAGAGAGGAAGAAAAGACCTGTAGCACTGAAAGCTCTCAGCATTGGGTGCTATGTTTATCTCTGATGCTCTTTCAAATGCTGTAGTCTTATTTGGGTTTATACTTTAGCAAAAATTGAGCTTATACCATGCAAGATCTCTAGGAGTCTGGGCTGCAGTGAGAGCACAGTCACTTTTTATTGTTATGATAGAGCACAAGTTTATATTGAACTGATGTTCTGTAGTCCCTCTGTTTTCACTATTCATCAAGGCTTCAGCACCCCAGCAGCCAAAAGCATTGCTGTAATAATTGTCTCCCCTCATAATAGCATTTTCCTTGCTTCCCCCTTGCCAACCTTGAGATACTCAGAAAGCAAACAACTCCTCTCCCCCCACCCAGCCATTTGGCAAAAATTTTCCACAGCTCATCTTTGAAAGTAGATGAGGGATAGAGGGAGGCACACAGAAATGCAAGTCAGTAAAGGTGTAAATGGAGGCTTGCTGGTAAATTAATGTCTCAGGCTTCTGCTGACTGCAGTAGCATGCATCAGCATGACTGACACCTTGTGCTTAGACCTCATCACCCAGGTCAGCTTTTCACACAGGAATCAACTCTTTGCTTTTCTAATTTGCATCACCTGTTACAGTTTGTAAGTTTCCTTGATGAGAATATTTTTTCATCTTAAGCAATGAAGAAACTCAGACTTGCTTCTATAATGGATAATAGTCCAAATAATCTTTTTTCCTGTTAAGAGAAATACCTGTCCTATACAGGAGTATATTACACCCTTTTTTATATATAGATATATCTGTATATCTCCATTCTTAACTCCCTTCTATGGGCTCATTTTTCAGAATTTTATATTTAGTGATTTTTATTGATATCCTATAGGAAGTTTAAGGTAGGTAGACAGCCTATCATGTATCCACAGACGAAACTTGCTCTTCCACTGTTCATGCTGTATTACTACTTTCTACTCATGACAGATGGCAACAGAACTCTCTATTGTTCATACCCACTGAATTGCTTGTCTCTAGCAACCTCTACATTCATGTATTTTCCAGTCAGCTCATGGTAACTACCCATTGACAATCCAGCCTCCCAACAGAAAATTTAGTTCTGGCTGTACCTGAGGCATGATATTATCTTTCCAAATCAAGCAGTATTTTTGGATACATCTACTGAATGGAATCCTTTCCTAAATATTATGTGAAGTCCAGCTTTTCTTCTTCAACCTACCAATTAGTGCTTCAAGTGCATAGATTATATTAGGAGAAACAATGTAAAGTGTTTTATTGTTTATTTTAAGGGAATAAAATAAGTCAACACATAATTTGAAAATATTCAAAGACATCAGAAAAAGAAAACTAGGTTTAAAAACAATAGTACAAAAATAGCAGGATGAAAACAGTATAGCTGACAGAATTTAGTGTTTCAAGTGTGAATATATAACAGCAATAACAATTTTAAGTATTCCACTACTGCATTCACAATAGCGAGGTAATGAGATAGTATTTCACTAAGCCCAGTGAAAAGCTGTGAAAATTGCAAATTTGATTTTAACTGAATAATTTTGCCATTTTAATGATGGTCTGAAATACAATTCTTACCTGCGTTTATGGACATCTCTATGAGGGGGAGGAAGAGCCATACTTACGGCCAGTAGAACATTAGTTAGTACATAGCAGCTTTGTAGTGTCTTATGGGAAAAGCAATTTTACAACCTATTCCTAGAATTCTTCTCCATTTGAGAACCAGTTTATACAAACCATGAGCTTCAGGAAACACTGACGTATACAATCTAAAACTAAAGTATTTAATATAGAGGTCCTAATGAAAATATTCAAGACCTTTCCTTTCTATGAAAGTGCAATATATTGCATACATAATTCCACACCTGTAAACCACATAGTATACATGCCATGCATTTATCCTTACCAGTTTGTATGAGAAGCGGCAAACAACATCTAATATAAAAGAAAGAGCTATGAATATATATGCTTTTCTTTTGGTCAGGAGAAAAGGACACTGTGCATGCAAGAAATACCTGTATCGCATGTTGTAGAACAAAATCTACTGGTAACTTTTACGCCAGATCATTAGCAAAAAAAGTCTCCCTCCAAAACTAAAGTTCCTGTTTCAGCACCATGCTAAAGAACTCAGAGCTATTGTTACTTTTAGAGAGCTGAGTTATCCAGTAAGCTTGCTTTTTAAATTAGGCTTTCTTTCAGAAGTGTGATTTCCTGCAATAATTTAGTTGTTTCAAAAAGAAGAGAAGGCACTTAGCTAAAAATACTTCTGAGAAAGGAGGAGTTACTTAAATATTTACCATACTGAGAAACAACTAGTTACTTCCTGTCATACTCAAATGCTAGGAAGAGTTTAAAAATTCTTAAAATGAAATAAAAATACTGCATAACATAGTCCTGCATAATGGCATGTGCTCTCTCAAATTTAAAGCATTTTAAGTAACCCAGAGGGCCCTCCACAAATTTTCACTGCAATTTCTTTTTTTGTGTAGTTCGTATGGGTTTTCATCTACATATTTTCTTAATATTTCCCTTCCATAGTTTAAAGCTTTCCAATAGGTTTGTAGCAGGCATCGGGTTGCCACATGCGAAGGTCAACAAGAACTTGGTTGAGCTTTTGCATCCAGAGGTTACGCTCTTCTTTAGTATCAGCAGACAGCCAGTTCCTAAAAAGCAAGGAACCCAATGAATTTAATACCTATCTTTTTCCACCTCTACTTAGTTATGCTGAAAATGGTCAAATTGATCCTCAGTGGAAGCCCAAGTAGGGGGTGGCGGTGGGAAACGAAATCAAAATGTGCATAGTTCTACAAAAGACTACCAAGTTGCATGGCATTTTCACTTCTGAAAAATGAAGTTGAGTTCTTTGCTCTCAGAAGCCTGAAATGGGACGGTAGGGCAAAAAAGGGCTAGAAGTGAGCAAAACAACTTAAGCGTTATTCCAACATTTTAGCATTTAAATGAGCTTTGCACTGGCATGTCAGAGTAAGCTACCATGTTAGTAAAGCCCTCACACAAGGGTAAATTTTTCTGTGGCCATTAAAACACCACCCATGTCCATAACATACATAATATCATGATTTTTCACTTACTTCGTAACACAGAGTGTGTCTCTACATTGGCTGACAAGAGTCTCTCTGTCATCTTCCCTCTGAGGACGGACAGTTATTAGCTCAAAAGTGTTGGGACGGGCACAGAACTCTCTGTTGACCGGTTCAATCTGACGATTAGTGCAGTTAGCCAAGTTCATCCGACCCAAAGGATGCTGAAAGTGAAGTTAATTTGGTCAACAATATTGCAATCAAGACTCATTCTGCACAATGTATACTTTGACAATTTTACCATATTAAGGGAATAAAAAAGATCCAATTACTTCATATGTAAAATGGATTGCCTTTCTCACATTTAAAAGGGCCATGGCTGAAGCAAGATACTGCGGAGAATGGAATACGTCCTGCTCTGTCACCTACCATATAGTTAACAAATCCATTTACCATTGAGTTATGCTTAACCCCCTCCCCTACTTTTCTTTGTTTTAAACTAAAACAAAAACCACACTTTGCTTTTAAACTCTCAGCTCCAAGAGAACTTAATAATAGAAGCCAGGTTTCAAACTGATAGAGCAAATCCTATCAAAACCTACAGAAATCAAACTCTTCAGGGTTTCAAAACGTATAAGCATACGGATTTATCTTTAAGCATGCAACTGAAGGCACCTAAGTTCAGAGTCCAGCTGTTCTAGCTCCCTCTATAGTCAACAGCTAGACTCCTTCACAGAGCATTTCAAATTAAGGCAGTTGTCTCTTTCCACTACATAGGGAGCCTCAGCTGTATGCCTAAAGTTAGTTACAGACCTTGGCTCTGATTCATCACACCTACAGAATGCCTCATCAGGGAAACATCACAAGCAGCTCTTGGCTTGGAAAAAAGCTTGCTATTTATTGTGCATATTCTCTATACCATTCTATACATAGTTAATATAACTTAGGTTATAGGAAAAAGGAGAACTCTGTTTCAAGGAACATTAGATTAATCGAGGAAATGGTTGCAAAAGTTGGCCTATTTGTGCATGGAAAATCTTCATTAAAGTAATTTTGTGATTTAAAGCAATCAATGCCCCACACTGATAGTTTTGAGCTACATCTATCTTTGCAAGGTAGAACGGTCATGGTGGGCAGAGGGAGAGGCATTTCATAAGGAAAGAGTTTAACTTTGAAGTAGAAGATAATATATCAAAAGAATATAGCTGACCCTTTCTCAGTTAGAATGACAGTGATAAAAAAAAATCTGGAAGATTTTTCAAGAACAAGAAA